TATCATACATGTACCGGTAGTTGGGTTGGGTTTCGCACTGTCAATCCAAAGTTCCAAACATGCTTCAGAATATTGCAAGAAGGGAGGGGGAGAAAGAAAGAAAGTGAAAGAAAGAGAGAGAGAGAGAGAGAGAGAGAGAGAGAGAGAGAGAGAGAGAGAGATAGAGAGAGAGAGAGGGAGAGAGAGAGAGAGAGAGAGAGAGAGAGAGAGAGAGAGAGAGAGAGAGAGAGAGAGAGAGAGACCCCACTCGGTTCGGATGGTCGCAAGACCGATACTCTGCCAACCGGTTATCATGGCTATGGCTGTAGTCGGGAGCACTGTTTCGACACAGTGATAGTGCGTCCTCCGCCTTGTAACATGCTGCCCACCGGCCAACATGTAAGAGAAGTAGAATCTACCGTTTGGGACAGACAATAACCCAGTACACAAAAGCACTTGATCACATTGCCGGCCATTACCTAGCACTAGTATCCATTTTCAGTCCATTCGCTCGGAACTTTTCGTGTGCACGTAGTAGCTGAGTGAGCACGATGATAGAGTGAGCATGAGGGAAGACAATGAAGACTTAGAGTGGAAAGTACTAGTAAGTTAGTTTGACAAAAATAGGAGATCCCCTGGATAGACGTTAGTCTTCGGGTAATCCTGAAATAAAGATTTCCTATCTCTCCTCACATGTCGTCTTGTTTTAAACTTTCATTTTCCTAAGAGTGTTCCACGTCGTCGTAATGCGAATACTTCCTCCACTTCTTTCTAGCACCAGCATCACAGCGTCAACCTGCTGGATGATCTCATCGTTTGCCTAGTCGCTACGCAGCTGGCAGCAGCGTTTTCCGTGGCCTCCTTGTTAGGATCTGGCAAGAACGGTTGCTTCTGAGCGGCGTATTGCTTCTCCAGGTTCGCGTTAGTCTTGTGTAGCCTGTTTACCGTTTTAGTAAGAAGTATAATAATTATTATTGATTTACAACAAATGTCAATAATCCTCATTCGCTGAAACTTCATCTGAATGCCAGACGGAAAGGAAAGCTCCGGTCTCATCGGGTTGAGGGAATGGAGATTAAGTGAATTATTTCATGGAGTAAGTCAGCGGATTTTCTAGTGGGTAGTAGTAGTACACACAAACAGGCACCGAGATTCCCCCTCACCCTCTACAACTCACTCCATATCGACATCACAACCCAACAGCGTAGAAATTCTTTCCGAAACAATGCATCCAGTCTTCTTTTGAGCATGCAGTACCTGCTCCGCGCATCCCCCTGGTGTCTAATATCTCGATCACCCCTAGGCCCTGCTGCCGTTATTGCCCCCGCTTGTTTTTCATGATCCATTGCTTCTTCCCTCCTTCCTCAATCCATCTAACTGTTTCTGGCTAGTATCAGTTCTATCACACTTATCAATCCTCCTTATTGGCGTCACACCATCGTGGAATAAAAGAATAATAGTAGATCTACACGGCGTGAGTCAGCGGATCTTCTAATGGCCGTTATGTATGCACTGCGAGTCGCTAGTGCACGTGCAGTGCTCTGCCGCGGGACGAGTCCACTGCACTGGACTTTGTAGTTCTACAATGTACTTCGCCCAAACTGCACCCCAACTGATGGCACATGTAATCGCATAACCTACGTACATGAAGACTCGAACAAGTAATAGTTGAAGCATTGAAGGACAATCAATTTTTGTGACTTGCCGCGTTAAACTTACTTGTAGTTCCTTGGTCCTTTTCTTTACTATAAATAATTAATCATTGGCTCTCCATCCGAGTCTATCCTTGCACCCCTGTCCCTGATGAGCCGTCCTTATCTACATGACTGTACATGTAAACGGCGAAACGATCGTCGTGTGAAACTGCTGCTAAAGTGCTACGTCACAGCATAGCAACAATTTCAAAAATTCAAAAACTGGATCCACTTGGATCCAGTTTTTGTGTGGATCCAAGCACATTTCAAGCGGTCTTACCCACAGCATGGTGATGTAGCCAGTGAAACTGACTGATTTGGCTACTGGGGGCGGGGTTACAACTGGTGGCGAAATAAAAGTCACACCTGCATGCGACATGAGTGGGTTGCTATGCACCCACATACTTAGGCAATAGCAAAGTCACACCTTAGTGGATCCAAAAATAGAAATCTGATGTCAACTTACTACTCCCTGGCCGTTTTGACGTCATCACTTTCAAGCCCTATTGTCCATCTAATCATCCGCCAACGTCCTTCAATCATAGCTGAGACTTTCAGCTTGTGCTTGTCTTGGTTGCGCTCACCTTCCCCTCCGACATGTATGTTATCATGTAACTAGTTACTTAAAAAAAGGCTGTTTAGTTGGAGTGCGCACCCAAGACGTGCTAGAGCTACATGTACATGTACATGACATGTATGTAGGAGCTAGTTACATGTACACTGTACACTGTACACTGTAGTTGTAGGACGTCAGTTACAGTACTGTAGCCGTGTAGGTCAGTTTGATGCAATGATTATGTTTATCGCATGAGCTGATTGTCAAGAAACAGTTACATCTATTCTAAACTGGTGGTGTTAGTGGACATCATACTAATAGCGTGGTGGTGGAGTCCTCTTTTTGAACTTCCTTGGTCCTCTTCTTTACTTACTATAAATAAATTATTAATCACTGGCTTCGACCTAGTACTGTAAAAGCCATATATACATGTATAACGAAGTGCTAACTCTAACGAGTTAACGAGGAGAAATTTGTCGTTCAAATAGAAATCGTTAAACAGAAATCGATACATATACTGTCCTATTGAGCGTTGAGAATGAGTGAGAATCGTTACCTTTGGTACACGTAAACTGGTCAATTTTGGGAAATCGTTATTATTATTATTCTTTTATTCCACGATGGCGTGACGCCAATAAGGATGATTAATAAGTGCGATAGAACTGGTACTAGCCAGAAACAGCTAGATGGAAATTAACCGGGAGGCAAGAAGCAATGGATCATGAAAAACAAGCGGGGGCAATAACGTTAGCAGGGGTGATCGAGATAGTTAAGTACACGTTCGAGATATCAGAAACCAGGGGGATGCGCGGAGCAGGAACAGGTACTGCTCAAAAGAAGACTGGATGCATTGTTTCGGAAAGAATTTCTACGAGGTTGGGTTGTGATGTCGATAGGGAGTGAGTTGTAGAGGGTGAGGGCACTGTTGATGGGGGAATCTCGGTGCCTGTTCGTGTGTGCGTGTCCGATGGAGTAGGTCCTTGTCTGTCGAAGGGTGTATGGTTGGTGTTGACGTTGTGGTGCAAGATGTGCTTGTTATATATGTACATGTACCGTACTGGCAATATATGTTGCCGCGTAACGCGTAACGCAGGGGGGTGCGGCGTAACGCGCGACCAGGCTAGTGCGACAAATTTTCGTTGAGTTCGTAACGCGCGTCCGGCGGGGTGCGGCGATCTTTTCATTGCAGTTTGCACTGCAAAAAAAGGCTGAAAACTGTGAAAGCACGTGTACCGCGTGGTGAAAAGTTCAAAACTGGACGCAGCAGGAAGTCCTGACACTCGAAGGCTCATCATTCAGTGGTTGGCGATCTCAATGGTTTCTTCTTTCCCGAGGTCGTTTTGCGAAGAAGAGCGATGTGTTTACCAGTTTCCTTGTGACAATGCAGAAGTCTCTATTCGCCTTCGGCGTGAAGAAAATCACGCCCAAGCATCATTCAGTGGTTGGCGATCTCAATGGTTTCTTCTTTCCCGAGGTCGTTTTGCGAAGAAGAGCGATGTGTTTACCAGTTTCCTTGTGACAATGCAGAAGTCTCTATGATATCGTTGTCGCCCTTTGCCGTCGGGTTTGTAACAGTTGGATAGCAACTGAATTTCTGTGCCTTCAATGTGGATGAAAAGAAAAAATGATGCGGCAAAAACAAAAAAATGATGCGGCAATAGCAAAAACGTGATGCGGCAATAGCAAAAAAAGGACTGCGGCAATATAGAAACCTGTATAACGGCTCCTGTGCGACTTTGCATGTAACGCCCTGCGTGCGGCAAACATGTGCCATGTAACGCTTCATGGCCTCACTGCGGCAACATATATTGCCAGTACGGTATATGTACATGTATGCGCCTCGTTAGAATAATGGCTTTTACAGTACCTCCGTCCGAATCTATACATTAATACACATCATGCATGACTTCACAAACACTGTCACTTGTCAGTGGCACTCAACATAAGTAATTGCTCAGGCCGGCCGGGTCTAATATCAGTGGGAGGTCTCTTTCCAGTCGTAGCACAGTCAGTGAGTCATGCACACACACAATGTGGCATCGTGTTACTCTCTGAGTCTCTCATCGCATAGGCCCTCAGGCCTCTCAACAGTAATGGCGCAATATCGTTGCCCTCTACTCCACCGCGGGCCCCCTCCCCCGGGTCCCCCCTCTCTACGACGTCGACAGTCCAACTGACAATACAATACAGTGTTACGTCATTGCATAGTAATGTAAGCTGCCATGATGTGGCAAGTGGGTAGGTCCACGCACGTAAACACTACATCATGTACATGTATACTCAGTATAGCCAGTATAGGCGGTATCCTCAAAGACCGACTGGTATCAAGTGTCTCTTCTGGCCTTTCCGTTCTATCGTATAAGCCGACGTTCGTCGACGTTTTTCACTCTTCGCACTGCACCGTGATCGTTTAGGGTCGAGTTTGTTGTTTCCATCTGATCGACACTTTAGATTTGACATGGTCAGTGTGTTTGTTGCTTCTGTTGTCAGTATCGTAGTATTATGATGGTAATGCTGTAGTGTAACGGTGTGGCTGGTGTTGATCTGCTTGACACTGACAGTGGTGCATCCGGCTTTTACTTGGCGTTATACTCTCACTCCAGCGGCTGCGCTATTTCTTCCTTTGCAGCCATTTTCACGCTACTGTCTCCAGCCTAGTGAAGTGGCGAGCAGTTCCGCTTGCGCTAGACACTCTCAGAACGGAAGTGCACATCTATCTTGCACACCACGCTACGTCAGTACTTGTGTGTGCTTCTGCTGCTGCTGCTGCTGCTTCAACTGCAGTCGAGACGAGAGGCCTACCGACGTCGGAGAGCAGCTGCAGATGCTAGGTGGTCGCTGTTTTGTGGAACAGAGCTTTGGAAATCTATTGATGTGTATAATAATAGTCTTCGTAGATCGACCTACCTACCCAGGTCCTTGTGCCCTTGTGCATCTACATGCGCATGCGACACTGCACTACTGACCGACTCTTCTACTTCTAGCCTGTCGAAATACATTGATTTAGGCTGTCGTACATGACTGTACACGACTGTCAAGATCAAGTGCACTCGACTCGACTCGAGCTGTCAAGATGAGCCCCAGTGATGGCTGTACTGAAAGAAGGCAATACCAGGGACCCTGCGCCGACAGTGACTCTTCCGCTGCCGATGGCGGCCTTCCGAAAAGGGTAAGGTCTAACAGCAGAAACGGATCTTCACTGACACATACACCCATACGCGCACATACATGTACACGCACGCGCATGCATACACACGCACGCATGCATACGCACGCACAAACATGTACGCATATGCGTACATATACATTGTACATGCGGGTGTGTGTTTGTGTGTGTGGTGTATTTTAGGGTGGTGCAATCAGCCACCTGAACTGAAGTACAATTTACTTGTGGGGTTGGGGTGGCTGCTATGATAAATTTCCAAATTAAGCATGACCCCAGATCAGTGTTTGGTCCACAGGGTACTAGTACCTGGGGAGAAGAGTGGTACAGTCAATAACATAGTGACCGACCGTAGTGTGTCCGACGCCCCTGTGTATCAATGCAGAATAAGCCACATTGTAGCTCTTCAGCCCAACACTTCCACTCATTGCAAGTTTGTAACCCTTCAAGTTTCAACCCAACACTTCCACACTTTCTTTCAACTGAGTATAGTATGGGCAAAGAAGGACTTGGTTGTGTCATTGCTGTATGAGGATTGTATTACTGGCTCTGTCCACTCACACTGGGCATACAGCACAAGCGCAGCTTGAGCCTGAGGATCTTAGACATCATCCTGTGGAGATGTACATGACTGTATCAAATGATTCAACAAAGGCTCAATCTTCCCACAGCTAGATGTTGCGGCCGACTTACAGGTAGCTCTCTTCAGCGGAGTTCAGAGTGACTGCTCCAAGTGCTCTGGGAGTAGGCCTTGGTGGATAATGCTCGAAAAGGTGGCAGATTCTGCTTTTTTTGCACCGAAATTGGCAGAACCATACAAACCTTATGGCGGGCAATTCCTTGAATTCTGCTCCATTTCTTTATCCACATACCAAACATGCATGAAATTTACCAGAAAAAGTACCGAATTCTGCCAATTTTTCTGCCGGCATTATCCGCCAAGCCCTATCTGGGAGACAGAAGTACATGTAAATATTTTATTTTCCCATTCTAGCCATGGGCATTGGTCCAGAAAAAACCCCAATAGTCAGTGTACCAAGGTGTGCAGTGTACAGGGTGTACTTGCATCTGCTTGTAGTTTAAACTGTTATACCAGTTATACCATCATCATACTTCATAGCCACGTTGATTTGCTGCTATACCACACCACTGGTGTAGACCATGGACCAGGCAGTGGACTTGTGTAGAGGTGTTCAATCATGTACAATGTCATACAATAATGTAGGTGCTGTAGGTCACATGTACATGTACATGTATGTGCACCATGGAATGCGTGTCCGTCGCGCATCATTGCACTGGACACTGTCAAGTCACACAGTCACAGGTTCCCTGTGCATGTGGTCAGCATAGCAGTGTGAGTCTGCTTTCACCAGTCCTGCCCTGAGTGCTGCACTCAGGCACCATACACACTGGTGGAGTGCTGCCCTCAGTGCCACTCACACACTCATGGAAAAAAGTAACATAAAAGTTTAAACAGTGAAAACACACACACATACACACCATGTACCACACACACACACACACACACACACACACACACACACACACACACACACACACACACACACACACACACACACACACACACACACACACACACACACACACACACACACACACACACACACACACACACACACACACACACACACACACACACACACACACACACACACACACACACACACACACACACACACACACACACACACACACACACACACACACACACACACACACACACACACACACACACACACACACACACACACACACACACACACACACACACACACACACACACACACACACACACACACACACACACACACACACACACACACACACACACACACACACACACACACACACACACACACACACACACACACACACACACACACACACACACACACACACACACACACACACACACACACACACACACACACACACACACACACACACACACACACACACACACACACACACACACACACACACACACACACACACACACACACACACACACACACACACACACACACACACACACACACACACACACACACACACACACACACACACACACACACACACACACACACACACACACACACACACACACACACACACACACACACACACACACACACACACACACACACACACACACACACACACACACACACACACACACACACACACACACACACACACACACACACACACACACACACACACACACACACACACACACACACACACACACACACACACACACACACACACACACACACACACACACACACACACACACACACACACACACACACACACACACACACACACACACACACACACACACACACACACACACACACACACACACACACACACACACACACACACACACACACACACACACACACACACACACACACACACACACACACACACACACACACACACACACACACACACACACACACACACACACACACACACACACACACACACACACACACACACACACACACACACACACACACACACACACACACACACACACACACACACACACACACACACACACACACACACACACACACACACACACACACACACACACACACACACACACACACACACACACACACACACACACACACACACACACACACACACACACACACACACACACACACACACACACACACACACACACACACACACACACACACACACACACACACACACACACACACACACACACACACACACACACACACACACACACACACACACACACACACACACACACACACACACACACACACACACACACACACACACACACACACACACACACACACACACACACACACACACACACACACACACACACACACACACACACACACACACACACACACACACACACACACACACACACACACACACACACACACACACACACACACACACACACACACACACACACACACACACACACACACACACACACACACACACACACACACACACACACACACACACACACACACACACACACACACACACACACACACACACACACACACACACACACACACACACACACACACACACACACACACACACACACACACACACACACACACACACACACACACACACACACACACACACACACACACACACACACACACACACACACACACACACACACACACACACACACACACACACACACACACACACACACACACACACACACACACACACACACACACACACACACACACACACACACACACACACACACACACACACACACACACACACACACACACACACACACACACACACACACACACACACACACACACACACACACACACACACACACACACACACACACACACACACACACACCTTACCAGCGCCAGTGGTATTCCCAGTCCCATTCCCCAATCATCAAGATGGAATCAGTAACCTCCGTCAAACAGTACGTACATGTACATGTACATGTACATGTACATGGATGTGTATCGGTTCCTTTACATATTATTATTGTATACATGTAGTGAAACGGTCGTATTTGTCAGACTGGGTATTGCTGATGAGACTATGTGGGATTGTCTATGGTGTGTATGGTGTATGGGTATTCTTTCGACTATCAAAGATCAGCATCATCGCCTCCCCTTCTAGCATTGATATACTCCTGTCCTCCACCCCTGATCATCCATAATATCTTCTGCACTCCCATCCTATAATCCCTGATCATCCATACAGTCATCCTCTCCACTCCCATCCTACAATCCACACACTGACCTCACCCTTTACAATAGTCCTGTCTCTTTTCAAAACAATCCCCTCTCCCGCATTGGACCATTCTGTCTTCCCTCCTTTCCCTATAACCTCTCATGCAGTCATGGTGCGTGGTAACGCCCAGACCATACATGACTGTACTACACTCATGTAGACTACTAGTACATGTAGGTCGGCGTAGTTGGCTTGCCTCACCAGCACAGGTTTCTTCTTGGAGCCCCTACTCTTCCCATTGTTGTGTTGTCCTGCTACTTCTCTACCCTCTTCTTACCCGTAGGTCGTGTCTTCAGTAAAAAAGAAAGAAAAAAAATAGAAAAAGGTCTCCAGACTCCACTCAGGTAGTACTAGTAGTAGTACTAGTAGTAGTAGTAATAGTAGTAGATTTTATTATTTTACTAGGGGAGTCCCAACAGCCGTTGCCTTTTTACTGGGAACCCTAGGTGAATTTTTACCATGTTTACATACAGAGTAAGAGACGGGGCCTGACGGCAATCAGGTCACCTGGTCACAGTCTAGTCTCTCCGTGTTTGTAGTGGTGTATGCCTGCAGTGCCACCTATGAGTATGAGTATGCACATGACATTGCCAATGCAGAACAAACCGACTTTACAAGTTTATTGTAACCTTTCATGATGAAGTATGATTGCGTGGACCATGGGTGAACACTTGTCCGATGCATGTCCATCTGGCAGCTCCCACTCGAAGAGAAGAGGCGGGTGGATCGCCCGTTTTCTTTCTGCCACCCTCTGTGAAAGTCGCCAGCTAGCGCTAGCCAGCACAAAAGTGCCATGGCACGAGGACTCCTAGCAGTAGTACTAGTAGTAGTAGATCTACTACTGTACTACTACTACTACTAGTGATCCTACTTCCTACAGTAGATCTACTAGTTCTTTCCCCGCGCACAGTCGGTAGTCCAGTCCAGGCAGTAGAAGATCACGAGTCAACGCGCTGGTACTTGCAGGAGAAGTCTCGACACAGGAGTCGGTCGGAAGCACATGCACTACAACTGTACAAGTAGATCTACCAAACGCAATCAATCACGCATCAAGCGTGTACACCATGGGCATGGTACACCGTGGCGTATCTCGCGCTCGGTAATGGCCTTGTACTTGTGTAGAGCCATCATGTACACAACAGCTATCCCAGTATTTGCTGCTTGTGACTTGTGTGAGAGGAAACTGACAAAATACAGATACATAGATGTGACGAAATGCTCCGTGATCGGAGCTCTCGCGAGCTGCATACAGCCGCCGCATCGAGCTCAGCCCGCAGCCGTTGTTGAACCGGCCGCTTTAGTGTGTAATGCTGCTCAGGCTAGTTGTTACGACGGATGGTGTTCGAGCCTACACACGGCTACAGCAATAATCTATAAGAGTCACGTCAATACAAAATAATTCTTAGTTTGCTTGGGTGTCAGATGGCCCGAGGCAACGCTATCCCCGTCTCACCAACTCGTGTTTGTTGTTGCAATCTACACTGACAGGTTCCAGGATTTCGGGGTATGAGCAGAGATCGTGGTCGCAACTCTCACCTGCCATTGCCCAGCGCTTCCGTGATTGCAAGCCACCCACGTCCACCACCGCTGCCAGCCCTCTCCACGCAGGCGACGGACCCGGATGAGTCCAGAACGTATCAACCAGCCTTCCCTCTACCGCCAACGAGTCAACAGCAGCAGCAGGAGGAGAAGGAGCTGTGTACGCCTCTGGCTGTGGCCCTAGGCGATAGTGGCCAACAACTGGATCTGTACCGCTGCGAGTGCGAATCAGTTGGCCGACAAGATCGGAGTGCGCGGAGCAGTCTAGACGGAGCAGACCAGGCTGAGCCAGAGCAGGCCGATCGACACACCAGCAGACCCGTCCAGGAGGCGGACCCATACAACACTAGTGGTGGCAGCCACCGTGAGCCGTACCAGGTCAGCGAACAGAACATGCCAATGCAAATGGGTTCGGACGATTTCAGCTTCACCTTGGAGCAGGTGGCATGTCTGGCCGAGTTTATCCTGCATTCGGAAGATGTGCACCGCTTGGAGCGTTTCCTCTACGCCTTGCCCAAATGTGCCCAAGTACAGCGACACGAGAAGATACTGATAGCCAAGGCCAATGTGGCCTACCATTCTGGTCTACACACTGGTGATTTCCGGGCACTCTATCAGATACTGGAGTCGGAAACGTTCTCCGAGCAATCCTATCCACGCCTGCAGGAGATGTGGACAGAGGCTCACTACAAGGAGGCCGAGCGAAACCGCGAGGGCAGGAAGCCGCTTGGCGCCGTCGGAAAGTACCGTGTCCGCAAGAAGAACCCGTTCCCGCGCACCATTTGGGACGGCGAGGAGACAAACTACTGCTTCAAGGAGAAGTCGCGCGTTCGGCTGCGCGAGTGGTATTCGAAGAGTCCGTACCCGTCACCACAGCAGAAGAAGGATCTAGCCCGTGACACTGGGCTTACGATAACACAAGTTTCAAACTGTAAGTCATTATTCACCTGGCTAACCCTGGTTCACCCTGGTTTACCCCGGGACACCCTGGTTCACCCAGGTTTACCCCGGGATACCCTGGTTCACACTGCATGGTTCACCTTGGGTCACCCTGGTTCACCTTGGTCACCTGATTTACCTGGTCCACCCTGGTTAACGTTGGTCACCTGATTTACCCCGGAACACCCTGGCTCACACTACATACCGGTAGTTCACCCTGGGATTAGGACCTTTGTATCGTGCTTGAATAGGGCTTGAAAACGATGACGTCAGAAGTCGTCAGAAGTCAAAATCTAATGACAAATGCCGACTTTTAGACCCACTCTGCCCAAGGCGAAGTATAGAATAGGTGGGTGGAGCCCTCGTGTCGCACCCACGTGTAATGTTTTCTGTACCGTTGGGAGTGGGTCCCTGCCCTGTAGGGCACAGTCCAGTCACTACCGGTGGATGTGGCACTATGCTGTGAAGGAAAAGCCACCCAAACGTGTATGGATATATTATACCAAAACTGGATCCAAAGTCTGCGTTGTCATGGCTGTGACGTAGCACTTTAAGCCCTATTTGCACGTGGTTAGTCCGACAGCCTCCGAACATTGGGTGGAATTGTCTGTATTTCGTGGCAAAAAAATGGGGGTGGATGGAGGGGGGGGGGGGGGGTGCGGCTTATACTCCAGTGCGGCTTATACTCCAGTGTGGCTTATACTCCAGTGTGGCTTATACTCCAGTGTGGCTATACTCCAGTGTAGCTCATACTCCAGTGTGGCTTATACTCCAGTGTGGCTTATACTCCAGTGTGGCTATTCCAGTGTAGCTTATACTCCAGTGTGGCTTATACTCCAGTGTGGCTTATACTCCAGTGTGGCCATACTCCAGTGTGGCTTATACTCCAGTGTGGCTATACTCCAGTGTAGCTTATACTCCAGTGTGGCCATACTCCAGTGTGGCTTATACTCCAGTGTAGCTTATACTCCAGTGTGGCTATACTCCAGTGTGGCCATACTCCAGTGTGGCCATACTCCAGTGTGGCTTATACTCCAGTGTAGCTTATACTCCAGTGTGGCTTATACTCCAGTGTGGCTATACTCCAGTGTGGCTTATACTCCAGTGTGGCTATACTCCAGTGTGGCTTATACTCCAGTGTGGCTATACTCCAGTGTGGCTTATACTCCAGTGTGGCTATACTCCAGTGTGGCTTATACTCCAGTGTGGCTATACTCCAGTGTGGCTTATACTCCAGTGTGGCTATACTCCAGTGTGGCTATACTCCAGTGTGGCTATACTCCAGTGTGGCTATACTCCAGTGTGGCTATACTCCAGTGTGGCAAAACCCCAGAAAATATGGTACATGTATGACTGTAGAGTACTCTATCTCCAGACAAGTAGTAATATTTCGACCTTATCAGATCTCTTCAGCGGAGCTCAGAGTCACTGGCCAAACCGATTGCATTTAAACAAAGGATGTGCTGCATGCATGTATGCACTGGAAGAAATGTAGAAGTAGCTAGAATGATTTTGTGGAAGGCAATCAATGAATGCTGCAATCATGTGGCAGACTGATCCACTGCCGATTCGGCAGGTAGGAACTTTAGTTGTCAGCCACTCTCTACCGTGACACGTGCATGACTTCTGATGCAAGCTGGGTGCCACCCTCTTATGCTAATCTGCTCCCAAATGTCTTATCCATCAAGGGAAATTATGCAAATGATATGCGGAACGAACCTAGACAAATAACGGTTTGTCATGATCAAAGGAAATAATGAGTTTTCTGCCGTGCATCCTAAGTGGGTAACGCAGAGTGTTTGTGTACTTGTGACTGTGGGTTAAGTACTGCTGGTGGAGACTTCCGTATAGCCAGGCTTCAGTCCTGGTGTAGCCGCTCAAAGTGTTACTGTGATTGCCATGGTTAGGCAATGCTGCTGCTGCTGCTGCTGCTTGCCCATTGCTGAGCCACTGTGCTCACAGCAGAGACTTGTGTGTGTGTGTGTGTGTGTGTGTTATTGTTGTGCTGGAAAGTAGACCACGAAGACCTGTCTGTATAGTTGCTGACGTGCTTGCTGTGCTGCCTGTGTTGTTGCGTAGGGTTCAAGAATCGACGGCAGCGAGACCGAGCCGCAGAGGGTCGCCAGGACGGTGGGTCAGGAGACGATGGCCGGTAAGCTGATAGATCTCTGGTTGCTTCAAGTGTCGTGTTGCTGAAATGATTCTTTTATAACACGTACAAGGAGGGCTCCTGATATGAATGGGTGGTTTGTCTGCGGGTGGTGGGGGAGCATGGGAGTACGTTGGAGATCCTTCCAAAGTCTATTTCCCGGGTACATGTATGTAGATCTGCGTGGCCCAGACTAACAAAAGACCATAGATTCTCCGTGCACTATTGCTGGTGCTTCTAGTTAATCTGTTCATTGTATGTTCATAAAGTCAAAAGAGTTGAAAGGTCGAACGGTACTGTCGGCCTTTGAATAAGTAGTGCAGTTTCTTGTACATGTAGACTCACCATGCGATCTAAGCCGCCCAACACACTCCCTTCTTCGGACACTCATAATCTCGGACCTGCAAAAAAATACCAGCAAGAAATACGGTATTGATAGTAAGCTAGTAATGCCCCCCCCCCCCCCCTTCGACCAGAACACAGTAGGACAGTCCATTTCAGTATCTACTCCCCCCCCCCCCCCCCCTTCGACCAGAACACAGTAGGACAGTCCATTTCAGTATCTACTCCTCCCCCCCCCCCCCCCATCCTTGACCAGGCCTACAAGGATCACAACAACCACAGGCCATCGTGAGAATAAAATATTTCAAACTAAGGGGCCGTCCGTAAATATCGAACTTTTTTCACCAAACGAATTATTTTAGTTTAGACCCAACCCCTCCCTCCCTCCCCCTCAGAACGTAAAAATTGGTGACATATACATGCATATACAACAAAAGTCGCAAGTGTGTCACCAAGAGTGCATAAACAGTTTTTATGGACTCTTGGTGTCACTGCTCCTATGGCCATGTACATGTATCGAAGTTTTCTGAAACGAAATTGGTCAACCCCCTCCCACCCCATAACGAAATTATTTCGTTTCGTGAAAAAAGTTCGATAATTATGGACGACCCCTAATGGGCATGTACTATTGATGTTGTGCTCCTTGCTTTAAGAGAGTCAGAAGAAGAGAGTGTGTTGGTCGGCCTAGAGCGTATGATGGGCGTGGAAGAAACTGAATTGTTCGTGAAGAGAATCATCAAAGTACATCACTGTACATGTGTACCTCTGTTAGAGTCCACACCGGACTAAACTGTACTGTCTGCAGATTTGAGCATTCACTGACTGTTCATGTACATGTTGCACCCACACCACGCTATGTTTGCAGGGAAGACCTGGATGATGACGAGCAGACCGGCATGCACAGCCTAGACCAGGCCACCAGTAGCATGGACGAGATGTATACTGCTGACAGCGGAGGCTCTCATCTAACATCAGTATCGCAGTCGCCGTCACATCACGCACGGCAGCAACAGCAGCCGCCATCACACGGCGGGCACGATGCCGATTGGAATCGCCCGAGCAAGTTGGCTCTGTCCGTGCACGGACCATCACACTCGCCACCACACGCAAACTCTTCACACAACAATGCCCATCACAACCATCAGCAGCAGCAGCAGCATAACGGCTACTCATCTTCCTACTCACCAGCTGCTTCTAATGGCGGTGGCCCTGCGTGCGGCTATCCTGCAGCTAACGATAACTCCTACTCTCAACTGCACACTGGTCATCATATCCATGGTCGCCCTGCTTCCAATTCTACCACAGATTATCATCAGAATGAGGTGAAGCGAGCATACGTGCCTGAGACCAACGCGGCGTCATCAGCAGCTGCACCGATGGTAAACCATCGCTTTTACACGCCAGACACCGGTTCAGCTCCTCATCATTCCGGTGACCTCATGTCGCCGGCTCCAACGGCTGTGCCACTGGAAGTAGCGGCGACGCCGGATCCCGATGCAGATCACTACGTGCAGATTGTGCCAGAGAATGTCGGAAGGTTTGAGCCGCTCAAGCACCGCTCGCCAGCAGACGCTCCATACCCGTACCAATCAGCCAACGAACGTGTGTACCACATAAATGGAACACAGCCGTCACCTATGGCAACGCAGAACGGTCACGAGTCGCAGGTCGGTGGTGCACCAGTGCGGCAGCTAGGCCCCGAGCAGCAAATTGACCGCCATGGTTACAGGTCCTCTGATGCGGCAGAACCAGGAAGATACACAGCCGCTGGATACAACAATTCGGTATCGTTCTCACAGCCAGCGGTCCCCACACAGGCGTCGACACCTATGGATGTTTCAAACGGTTACCATGGTAATAATGGCTACCACCATCTGCAGCAAGGGTACAGGTAGTGTGAGATGGCACTGCTACTGAGAGCTCGTGTTAAAGACCTTACACCAATAATATGAAACAGTCGAGTCACTCGAGTGTCCTTTCTCTGCTTTGAATGACAACAGTTTTAACATGACCCGCGCTCTGCGAAAACCGACCTTAGGTGCTTCGTAATTTTTTCGAGAAAAAGAACAAAACGTCACGATCTGTCGATTTTTGAAGATTACAAGGTGAGAGTCATGGCGGAACGAAGGAGAAGACGGTCGCTAGCTCAAATTGCTGCGGGCTTCTCCCCAGAGGTTTCAGCCGAACTCCTTCACGATGAATAGTCATTTTTTTGGCCTGGTCCAATCGCAGTTCTGATGACAGCAGTGCCGAGGAGAGTCGGATGTGGAATCGCAGGACGTAACGCTGATCGAGCTGGACGGTGATGTGGAGGAGAATTTCGATCAGGCGTCGGTTCTGCCACCAGCCCAGCCCCTCAATGCCGGCAATATACAGAGTGCAGACCAAGAAAAATCGGTTCAAGTACTGTCTACAATCCAGGAGGCGCGTGACAAGTTTGACAAGCGCTGTAGGTGTTCCGCACTGGTGCTGTTTCAAGAGCGCGACACTTGAAACCTTGCTTACACTTACAGCACACACAGCGCAGGTCCTGATCAAGACAGATCACTGCTTGTGTGTAGGCGGAAAGCTAGACGTGCTCAGGAGACGAGGTGAGGCTACCCAGCGCGTCCAGCATGCTGGGAGATGTGATAGATGGGGCTCAACAATACTACTCTGAACTACTGAAGTACAGTCAGCGGCTGGTGTGGAAGTCATGTACATGCATGTCAGGAAGTCTTTGTGTGTGCCTCCAGGATCAAGCCCTGGGTGTTGAAATCTACAGGCTGCTGTCAGTGCAAGTGAAATCAGCCCAAACACAGAACTCTGGAATGCACTGCCTGTGGAAGATGTTGTGGAGCTGAAACATTTTATAGAGCATTATGCTATGCTAGTATTATGCTATAGTTCATGGCCTCCCTTAGCCTGCGGCTCCACATGGGCACAACAAGCCAGTACCAACCTACATGTATTTGCCCAGTATCACTACGAAGAAGCTTGTTCACCAGGCGTTCACAAAGCCTGGTGGCAAAGCTGCATACAGTACGTTTGGCAAGATTTGGAAAAGAGACTGCCATGGTATCACCGATTACGAAACAATGTGTGCGGCTGATGTAGACATAACTAGATGTTCTAACTACCAGTACCAGATAAAACTATCAATATCCTTTAACCCAGCATTGATCCTAGCTTCTTCACTACTTTGCACCTGCCTCTACGCATCACTTCGGCTGGCATATCCTCAAACAGAGCCAAATACATGTACCTCTTCCACCAGATTCGTGAGCAACACCATCCACAGAACAGAGATAGAATGTGTCTATCTCCACAACAGGAAGATCCAATGCCATCATAAACCTTTCCTTTTGAGCATTATGACATACAGATTTATTCTGCAAAGTTTGGTTGCAATCATCCTGCTTGAATTCTCGCAGCATTGGTTCCAAAATGTAGCATAAAATCCTGGTTTTTTGCTATTTTTCCTCCAAACATTGCAGGAAAAGTGCAAAGAAATTGTCATTGTATCTAACTGAATATGTATGCAATCCACCTAAAACTTCACCAGAAGTTGAAGAAAGGGTCATGGGTCAACAATCCAGCACAAACTCAATTTCGCCAAAATAGCACCTAAGGTCGGTTTTCGCAGAGCACTGGTCACATTATATGGAACCAACACAAGGATATTCCAAGCTCCGATTTGCACCCCGTTTGATGCACACTAGCACTAGGAGTTGACGTGCTCTGTGTCTTCCTTTTGAGCTGTATTCTTTTAAATCTTTTTCTTCCGTTTTAGGAAATGTCCATGCCCACCACTTGTCTTGTTTTGCTGGCACCCAAAGCTGGCTATTGGAAGTACAGTTCAAAAAAGTAATCAATAATTTGTTTTACTATTCCAAAGTGCATTACAATGTACTTGATTCGTTGGCCTTGTCAGTTTGATCATACTAATGTATGTTATCTTGATCTTCACGCCATGCTGTTGTTGTTACTGTTGTTGTTGATTGTTGTTATTATTGTTGTTGTTGTTGCTGTCACATGTGTTGCTGCTGCTGTTATTGATTGTTGTTATTGTTGTCGCCGTCGTCGTCGGTGGTGTTGTTGTTGCCGTTGTTGCTGTTGTTACTGTCGCTGGTTATTGACTTTCAATGTGATGGTGTTATGCTTCATTGATAGATCCAATGATCGCGACTGCAGCTTGCAATCCAATGCTGCAACTAACGTACAGCGATAACATTAATAAGTTCTTGTGGTGGCTAATATTATTCTTCAAGTATCCGTTGTCTCTGTCCTCTGGGTTAACCAAGTGTTAGCTGCCGTCGTGAGTTCCCTCAGGCACAGACCTGATGAGTTACTGATTTATTTTATCCAGTACCTGGATGCCGCGAATGGACTTTTGGTCTTTGACCACTTTGGTGGGTCTGATCTACTCACCTCCCACCGCTTTAGGAGCTGCATCTGCGCCTTGATTCTCGGGTGTTGGCATTCCTATGGATGTGGAAAACCCGGCTCTCACGCCATGCGGACCGTGGATTTTTTAAATCGTTTGGGTTCATCTTGGCCAGTTGTAAGCATATGACAGCGTTGGAGTTTGCTCAAGTCACGGTATGTATTAGTATCCCACTATCGCCTGTGCAATATGATGATCAAGAGCACACTAGTCATTGGAGCTTGTGTTCTCAACTTCTCTCCGGGATATGGTGTGTATATCCATGCATTTTCAAGTGGTAGGACTGTCAGAGTCAAGAGAAGTAATACTAGTATCTTGATGATTTACAATGTCAAAAGCAGCATGGTGCTCCACGGCATAAGCCATTCCTGTTGTAATACCGTAAAAGTCCGTAAATTAAGTACGTATTTACTTTCGAATTTAGTGACCACACCCGTACTAACTTTCGGGCGGGTACTGACTTTCGGGCACGAACTAACTTTCGGACCTGACTTGTGTGTAGTGGAGAAGTCATTTTCATGTCGATGTACATGCTACGTGCTGCATGTGCTCACCGTACCGGTACTTATTTCGGGCAGTATGTTTATCGGGCTTGACTTGACTTCAACAGACAGAGCCAAAAGAATGAAGGGGGTATTTCTTTCGGGCAGGTACTTATTTACGGACTTTTACGGTAGTCTCGGACGCCTCCACGGTGCTGTGTATAGTACATGTAGGTAGTATAGTCATGCACAGGCAGATGCTATTAATTCTTACTTCAGTCTAGTTTAGATAACGGATGAGCGGCTGGGTTGAGTCGCTTTCTTTGCAGCTGCACCCCAACTGCGCCACGTGCACTGGAGTGGTTGCTGCTGTTCTCGGCATCCTGCGAGCGAGTGGTAGGGAACTCAGACGCTGTGCTGCACATTACGCTGATGTGGATGAACAGAACAGGCTCTGGCTGGACGGTATTGTACACAGTAGGGTTGTCAGTTCTGAGTGAAGTCGCTTCCCTCTGCCACTACACCATGTGCCGCTAACTGGTCGCCGCTGTCCATTCTCAAGTAACTGTTACTTCGCGGTTTCCCCGTATCAAGCTCCCGAGTCCCAGGCTCCGGCTGCTGCTACTTGTGAACCTGACGGATTATGACAGTCGACATGATCACATCTCCGACCAGGCGGAGTCAAACCAGGCGGAGTCGACCAGGCGGAGTCGACCAGGCGGAGTCGACCAGGCGGAGTCGACCAGGCGGAGTCGTATTGTGCCTGTGATGAGGACCTAGTACATGTTACTTGTACATGCATGTGTAGAGTACAAATGTACTGATATCAAGAGTAAAAATAAAAAAGCTTATTGGTTACCAAGACCCTGATCTGAGCTTATTGCACATCATGTACTCTTGATGGCCATGGGTAGATCTACTCCGCGAACTGAAGCCAGTGAAGGCTAGCCTGAAGCCTAGCCGTCAACATGCCGGTGAAGGGCTAGGCCTTGTGCCGGGGTAGATGTATGTAGACGTAGCGCTGTCTCATGGTCTACCTCCGGCTACCTCAGTAAGTGAAGTAAGTAAGTTAGTTCAAGTCTTGACTCTTGAACTTACTTATACAATGTACTTGTACAGTCTGTACTCACTACTGCATACTTAACTGTCTTGTTCGCTATCCCCCATGCTGCCTCGCGGTTTCTAAGTAAAATTTAGTTTCGACTTTATAGAAACTGTGGTCTACTGTGGTCGATCCGAACATTTTTGTGTCTTGTACTCAATCTTCTGACAGAACTGTTTCGTCCTTTGGCTTTGTTGTCTTGTACTTTCAACTTTATGCAGATCAAGTAATGCGCGTGTCTACCGTACCCTGGTCTGACTTTGTGTCTACTACGAGACAGGTAGCTGGAGCCAGTACTGGCAGTAGCTAGGGGGTTGTCCTGGCAAGCGTCATAATTATCAAGGCTTTGTGATATTCATAGTCATACTCATACCGCGGTACCGGTAGATGATCTACAGCAGACTTTACGTCTTTAGTTTAGAGTTTAGGCCGCTTCAGTCGTAGACTCTAGTACTAGTACTAGTAGTAGGCACTTCAGGCGATTTTTTCAAAACGAGAAATACGCGTATTTCTTTTTTGTATCTGATTCAGATAGGTTTAGGAAGACTCCACAGAAAATTTGAAGCAAAAAGAATAACTTAGCACAGAGATATAGCCACCCAAAGTCGGAGAATTGAATAACGGCATTTTCAGTATTTCGACGGCACCAGCAGCATATCAGAAATTGGCAGAACTTGCTTCAGTGTCTATAGTGGCAAAATACCAGGCTCGCTGGAAGCAGGTCAAAATAACCAGATGAATGCAGAAACAGCATGGTTTGGAAAAACTTCGGATTTTTCATCCGTCCGGCAGCTCCGACGAAGATATCGGGTGTGGTCACCATGGCAACTCCATAGCAACAGCATAGCAACTCCATCGCAACAGCATGAAAACAGTGCAGAGAAGCCTTCGGAAAAGCATAAGATGAGACTTTGAGGTAAGATAAAGTAACTACAATAATTCAGTGCCAGAAAACATTGTTGCTACATGTACAGTACTGACTTGGTGATGAGTACGGAAGAACAATGAGCCGAAGACTGAGCAAACTAGAATTTACCGGGTAATTGACGGAAAGAAATGACAAACTATTACAATAGAACATCGTCTGCAAATTTTTGGGACTACTGAAACTTCAGCAACTCCAGCATGAGAGATTTTGTGCATAGAGTGTGTGCTGGATTCTTGGTATCATATCACCGTCAATGCTTTTCTTGGTCGCTGGAAGCCACCTGCTGATCAGCTGACGATTTGTTCCGAGCAGGCCGTTTTGATGTCAGCTCTCTTGGTCCAGTCGCCGAAGTATATACTGTCCTACTCGTCGCCTGCAGGAGAGGACGACTGCTCCGATGCGACTCCAATAACACCTGGCAATATTTCTTCTTGCGCAGCCATGCGCATGGGCTCCGACGAACAAGGACTATTGCCGGGAGGACGCCTATCGCGGTTCGCTTCCAATAACACCTCGCATTATTTCTCCTTGCGCAGCAATGCGCAAAGTGTCGGACGAACGAGGACAACTGATCCCGAAAGGAAATACGACGCTGAAGACGATGAGCTACATGGCAAATGCGTGCAACCAAGTGAAATGCCCGAAAAATCCTTGCCGATTTTACTCGAACTGTACGTGAGTTCAAAAAATTGCCGCATCATGACGTATGTGGGCTCAAACGAAAGCTGAGGGCCTCAGCTACATGCTGCGCCACACGAGAAGGCCCTGCGCAGCTTCCGTGCAGCTACAGATCGATCTATGCATGCGCCTTTCCTTGGTGCCACGCATGTACGCGATTCAGCGTTAGCACTTTTTGACAGGTCATGTCACGTGACTGAAGTGCCTACTAGTAGTGTCAGTAGATCTACTGAGTAACAGTTTAGTACACCCAGCATGTGACAATGACTATGTGCATAAAGACTGCAAAGCAAGGGGAGTTCAATATTCATCAGGCCAGGTGCATGCAGCCGCTAGTGCAAGAAAAGAGAAAGATTTTCACAGCCTATTTTTGTAGACTACAAAAGTGCAATGTCCGAAAACATGGTCCTGTCTCTCATCGCTAGCGCTGCGCGTGCGACGAAGAGAAGCTAGCTCGGCCGATGAATGCCTGCATTTTGTGAAGTCGTGGGGTAGGACGCTGGGCTGGCACAAGCATGCCGCTGAATCCTGAGTGGATGGTGATTTAGTGCAAATGCAGCTCACAGCCGGGGCCAGGACACCACTACTGCTCTGGATTTGCGACGGGCAGCTACTAAGTGCGTCGTTGTGGTGTCGGTGCAGCGCCCTCCACTCGAACGGCCGTCGGGATGGATGATGAAGAGCGACGGCCTATTCGCGTGCTGGACTTGCATCAGCTCTGTCGTGATGGCAATGTGGCGGCTCTGCAGCGAGAGCTGCGCGCTGGCCATGACCTGGAGGATCGCTTGAAGGCACGGCAGGGAAAGCTGGCGCTCAACCCCCTCCACCTGGCTGCGGATTTGGGCCAGGTGGACGTGCTACGTTTGCTACTGGATTACGATAACTGGGGAACGATCAACTCCCGCACTGCTGATGGCAGCACGCCATTGCACTTGGCTGTGCAGCATGCTCATCTGTCCTGTGTTAGACTGCTGCTTTGGTACGGGGCACGTTCGGACGTTGCCGATCGCGACCAGCTAACGGCACGAGGTCGTGCGTTGCGTGAGCTACCGAAGGCAAGCAAGTCGGCCGTGTGCCGGCTTCTAGTTAGCCGAGGTATGGTTAATCAGCGGCAGTAATGGCTCGTGACACACATACAACACATATAATTACATGCACGCACACACGCACTCGCACACATGCATTAACACTCCTGTAATCAGGGCAGTTATCAGGGCAGGTTGAAACCGAGCACTGCCCGTAACTAGGAATTACCCGTACCTTAGAACACACACACACACACACACACACACAAACACACACACAAACACACACATACACACACATACACACACACACACACACACACACACACACACACATACACACACACACACACTTACTGCATGCAAGTAAACATATTTTATGCCAATCAATGGTTTCTGGTACCGTTTTTCGTTGACAGGCCAACTGTTGTGGCTCTAGATGAGTTAGAAAGGAGGTACCCGGTAGACAGACATGCCCAGGTTAGGGGGGGGGGGGGTCCGGATTAGAGCCCTCCGGAGTTTTACTGTATATGCAAGGCAGTGGTCGGTGATGGCGGAGGGATTCAATATCTTTACGACTACCCTCTGGTGAGGTAATATCTTTACGACTACCCTCTGGTGAGGTTGCGTGCAGATTCTACCCATGCCACCAGGTGTGAATGTCCACTTTCATACGGTGATGAAATCAACGCATGTTACCAGTACTAGTCTAGTAGTATTTTACATGTGTGTGTGTGTGTGCACGTGTGTGTGTGTATGTGTGTGTGTGTGTGTGCACGTGTGTGTGTTTGTGTGTTCGCATGTGTGTGTGTGTGTGTGTGTGTGTGTGTGTGTGTGTGTGTGTGTGTGTGTGTGTGTGTGTGTGAACATGCATGTGTGTGTGTGCGTGCGTGCGTGCGTGTGTGTGTGTGTGTGTGTGTGTGTGTGTGTGTGTGTGTGTGTGTGTGTGTGTGTGTGTGTGAACATGCATGTGTGTGTGTGTGTGTACATGCATGTGTGTGTGTGTGTGTGCATGTGTTGTAAAATTCACTGTGAGCAGAACTATCACAGCTAGCGCTGAAGCAACCATCACAAGTCGTCAGTCTCTTGCAGCAGATACCATCGTCTGACCTGACCGTTGCCGACGTCGAACTGGCACTGTTCAATGCGTGTCGCAGGGGTCACATCGAGGCTGTCAGTCGCCTACTGCTCAAGAAGCGCATCTCGGTGGAGCGGCTCAATCACGCCGTGACGCTGGCGGCACAGCGCGAGCATCTTGTCGTCGTGGCGATGCTGATGATCTGCCGAGCGTCGGTGGACGGTCGCGTGGACATGGTGCGCTTTCTGTACGGCGAGCGCGACGCCGCCTTGATGCAGGACCCGCCCGAGTGGTATGTGCGTGAGGCTCACGTCCCTGAAATCATTAACGCCGTACAGACGCACGTGCCAATCAGTCTGGCCCTGGAGCGCAAGAGAGATAAGGTAAGCCGGCGACTTCTCACTTGACACCCATCCCTACGCACTGTGTACCTCGAATGGTGCAGATCATTTGCCCTGGGAACACCTTGGGAAAGGATTGCTGGGAGTGCAGACTGCAAAGCGGAGGAGGGTGATGAGTGTGCAGTACCTCCACCGTATGTACACATAATCTTCTACTGAGACTCCCCTGAGCCGCGCAGTCTGTCGTGATTTTTGACACAATTGCGTCAGCAGCCATTTCTGCTGAAGATGCGATGCAAATATTGGCATTGATTATCATTGTGCGTGCGCACGCGCGCGTGTGTGTGTGTGTGTGTGTGTGTGTGTGTATGTGTGTGTGTGTATGCATGTGTGTGCGGTTGTGATCTTGTTTGCCATGCAGGTCGCCCATGAGCTTCTCCTTCGTTCTGACATTGACCGCCACAGTGGCATCGTCAACTGGTATGGCATCGGCTTGCCTCGGCTAGAGCCTCTATGGTTGTCATCAATAGCCTCCTGGTGCACGCGTCTCTATCTCTACTCCAACAAGCTGGTATCATTGCCGTACGCCCTGTTTGACATCAATGCTCTTCAGATGCTTGACCTGTCCGGCAATCACCTGGAAGCTCTTCCCGTGGCTCTTCTGCGCATGCCCAACCTGGCCAAGCTATGGGTGAATCACAATCACCTCAAGAACCTGCCCGAATTCAACCAGTGGTCGCCGAGCCTGCGGATTCTTGACCTGTCGCACAATCACCTGACGTCGCTGCCTGACGGTATCCGCAGTTCTCGTGTCGAGCAGCTCAAGCTGGGTAACAATGACTTCGTCACGTTGCCGTCGGTCATCGGGCGACTCCGCTGCCTGACCAGCCTGGATCTGCGCGGCCTGAGTCGTGTCAAAGCGCTGCCGAAATCTTTCGGCTTGCTTCAGAAGCTGCAGTTCCTGGACGTGTCTGGCACGTCGTTCAACAACATCCCGCCCGCGGCCAGAAACGACCCGCATGCCGTCGTGGCACACATGCGTCAGAAGCTGCGCGACTGCAGCCCGGCATATCGTATGAAACTGGTCGTGCTCGGGGACTCACAGACCGGCAAGAGCAGTGTTGTAGCGTCACTGCGCGGTGACAAGACGTCCATGGGAAAACGCTACGAGAACGAGGCTGAGCTGCGTATATGCAGCATCAAGGTGCCCGGCAGTGGATGGCGCAAGCCAAAGTACATGTTCTCCGTCTGGGACTTCAGCGGCTTTGAGGAGTTCCGCAGCATGCACCACTGTCTCCTATCTGCCCATGCCATGCACTTGCTGGTGTGGAGGGTGACGGATGGCGTGGAGGGAATCCACCGACTGCGCTTCTGGCTGGATAACATCGTCACGTACTCTCCCAACTCTCCCGTACTGGTTGTGGCCACGTTCACGGACAAGCTGACAGCGGAGCAGGTGAACTCTGGCTACGTGGTGTCGATGCGCGAGAGCTTGGCACGACTCATCACACGGCAGCCGGGCTACCAGTGTCTGCAGTTTCACGGCATGGTCGAGACCAGCCTGAACGCAGAGCACGTGCCCGCACTGCGCCAAGCAATCTACCGTGCGGCCACCTCGGTGCAAGTGAACGGCAAGCAGCTGATGGGAATGCCGGTACCGTACAGCTACTCGGCGCTAGCAGAGCACATGGAACGTGTCCGCAACGATCGCAAGGTCATCTTCCAATGCCCCATCCTGGACAAGGAGGACATGTGGAAGCTGGTGACCAAGCAGATTGATAACCATGACATCAACACCGAAGAGGATCTCATGGAAGCTATCCGCTATCTGCACCTCACCGGCGTCATACTGCACTACGAGGTTCCTAACGGAGGTCTGGATCACTTGGTATTTGTCGATCCTCACTGGCTGTATGCCATGCTGGCACGCCTGGTCATGGCGCGCAACCGCGATGCGTTTCAGAAGACGGGCTTTCTCATGCTGAGCGACCTGGAGCCCATCTACGCATGCCACCGATTCCCAATGCAGTTCCACCGTGCCTTTCTGCACCTGCTGAATCGCTTCGGCGTGGCCACCATCTGGGATGACACGTTCTTCTTCGTCAAGAACATGCTGGAAGACATGCCGATGCGTGATCTGGAGCGTTACCTACCGGCCAACCACAAGGTGGCGTGTTTCGTTCGCCTCTACTACATGAATGTTGTTCCTATCAGCTTTGAAAGCCGCCTGCTCACGCGCATTCTCCTGTTGCTGCGCAGCTGGCTAATCATGTGTGATGTGGCCAATACTGATGCCAACCTCAGCATCACAGGCCTGGGCAGAAGCAGGACCGACGCCGGCAGTTCTGACAACGGTTGGGAGTATCAAGCACCGGAGAACACCGCCACCGCCGATACTGCTGCCACTCCTACTGCTGCTGCTGCTGCTGCTGCAACACCACCGACGGCAAACCTGTTCTGCTGGCGCCGCGGCATAGCTTACATCACAAGTAACGGCGTGTGGTTCACGCTGGAGATGGTGCGCAAGTCCAACAGCTCTCGTTGCCTTCAGCTCCGCTCGTCGTCAAACTCCTTTGGCTGTCACCTGATGGCACTAATGGCCACTGCTGTTCACTGTTTGTTCCGTGATTGGTTTCCACACTTGCTGAGCGGCAACGACTCCGTCATGGCCACCGTGCAGATGATTAATTGCGTGAAGTGCCAGCATCGGCGCGAGGAGCACTTTGACCAGCGTGAGCAGCGCAGAGAAGCGCGCGCGGCACGCGAACGTCGAACGTCGTCCGTGGCGGCGGACAGTAGCGACAGTGGCAGCGTCAGTACCATCAGCACTGGTGACTCGCGCGAACCGGAGTTCAGCTTTGGCCAGTGCATCGAAGCGCTGATGGAGTCGGACAGCATAAAGTGCCGTCGCTGCCTTCAGAGCATTCCTCTCATCGATCTCATCCCAGAGGTCATGCTCGTCCACGTGAAATCTCATCCGATCGTCGAATACGCCACACTTCTCGTGAGAGACCTGAAGCGCTGTTCAGACAGTATCACTGATGTCAGTGAAGGAAATGGTATCTACAACGGCGAACCGGTTGTGGTGCGGGTCTTCGCAACGGCTACCCCTCAAACGTTTGCCGTAGAGACGTTTGATGATGAGATCGACAGGGCATTGGAGGACGAGGCGGAAATTCTTCCTCAGGAGCAGACGGAAGAGCAGGTGGTACTTGAGCGAGCCTACCATCAGCTGCGACTTGAGAGCGTGGGCCTATGCTCAGTCAAGCATCCAAACATGCTGCAGTGCCTGGCACTGTGCCTGCGACCGCCGGCGCTGGTGCTGCCCATTTCCAATTTCCAGCGCCTCAACGTCGTGCTGTTCAATGATCGGCAGGAACAGCGGCCGCCTATCACACGCCTGTACCTGATGCATTGTGCCGCGCAGCTGTCCAGCGCACTGCGCTACATACACAGCCTGCACATAGCACACCTGGGTGTGAGCAGCTCTGCAGTGCTGGTGGCGTCAACTGACTTCAACGTGAAGCACACCGTCCAGCTAGGTAACGTGGCGAATGGCAGCCGGGTTTGGCCTTCGGGTTCACGAGGTATGCGCGGTGTTCCCGGCTATCAGCCACCGGAGATGTTACACCACAATGGCGAACAGGAGTACGATGGAATTGCTGCGGATAGTTATGCGTTGGCAATGGTCCTGTTTGAGATGGTTGCCCGTGAGCCAGCCGTCACTATCAACGAGCAGGACTTGAACGAGGAAGTGCTCAACGGTTGGCGACCACCCATCATGTCTGCAGCGCCAGCCAAGTGCGGCCTCCCAGCGATGACAGCACTTGCGGTGAGATGCTGGAGATCAGACCCACCCAGTCGACCGATTGCCAGCCGCTGTGAGGCCATGCTGCGTGCTATTGATGCTAATCTCCTGCTTGGCGGTGATCTGATGCACCCGAACACTGTTCCACGGCTGGCTGTGTACGCGCAACAAAAGGACCAGGTGTGGATCTGCGATGACAGCGGCGAGCATGGCTGCTTGGTGACGGCATTCGACGCACGTCGCCTCTCCAAGCTGGCCCTACACGAGGTTGCACAGGCCCGCGTGATGGCCATGTGCACTGTGATGCCACCACGCCGTGAAGTGCCTTCATCCCTACCAGCAATGGGTAGCAACGTCGGTGGTGGCGGTATAGGTCTGCCAGTGATGAACGAGCAGATCTGGCTGGCCCTGCTCAATGGCTCCGTGCAGGTGATTGACTGTACAAAGTACCACTGTATCCGTGAGGTTATGACACCTGATGTATGCATTGCTTTGCACTCCTCACCCAACACCGTCTTCATGGCACTGGCCAATGGACGTGTGCTGGCCGTTCCTTCCAGCGAACCCATACTCAGTGGCAAGCTGAACATTGTTGCCGAGACGACGCTACGCCTCGGCTCTCTGCGCTCCATGGTTCTGGTGGCCGGCAAGGAGCTGTGGTGCGCACACCAGAATCGCGTTGTCTTCCTGGCCCTGCCCAGTCTTGAGCATATAGACACCTGGGAGTGCAGCACGGCCGGCATGATTTGTGACCTGGTCTACGACGAGGCACATGGCAGAGTCTGGAGCTTCCTCTGGCGCACGCTTGATCTGCTCTGCTGGCGTGCTGACAACAGAGACCTAGTGTTCAAAGTGAATCTAGCCACTATCGAGTTTGCTCCGGAGTGCATGCGGACGGGAAAGTCTCGTGGCCCCGCTGGCACGGCTGTAGATGAGACTGACGGAGGTGATGGTGCAGATGATGATGATGGCGATGATGATCAAACGAGATCTCTGCCCACCTGTGTTCCGCAGGATCTGCTGTCTCCCAATTCCGACGATGACAACAAAACGGAGCCGCTGCACAATCAGAAGGTCTCGTTCCAAGCCAGCGTGACGGGCGACAAGCACATTCAGCGTGTGCTGCCCGTGCAGGATACACTCTGGATCGGACTCGTCGACGGATGCGTTCTCATCTTGAAAGCCGACAGCCTGCAGCTGCTGGCCGTGCTCACGCCCCACCTGGAGGGAGTGCGGTGTCTGCTCAAAGTTCCCGCCAAGTATGGTGCATGCGGGGGCACCAGCAGCGGTGGGGTGGTGATCACTGGCGGTCGCGGCCGTCAACCGGCCGTGCAGTATCTGCTCAGCGCCGAAGAGGAGTGCCGTCTGCAGGCCATGGTCGAGGAGGACAGAAAGTGGCCCGGCTCGCAGACAACCAGCCTGCCCAGCAGTCATCTTGGCAGCATACATGACGCCAGCACTGGAGCTCTACTGCTCTGGGAGGCGGTGTCGTCCGAGACCCTCATCACGCTGCAGCAACGACAGTTAGAGGCTACTAGCACAATCTACTGATCGCGACGCTTTGTCGTCAAATACATGCCGTGATCCTTCTTATTCTATCATTCGTCTCTGCTGGTGCATGTGCAAGGATGACAACAATGCAGTTCATTCGCCGTGCCATTCAGCAGAGCAGCATGCTCCCTGGAGGTAACTTGTTTGCTGTGCTCTCATGTCTAGAAGACCCATATCACTTGCACTTGACTCAATTTGTTGCACTAGACTGAATTGTCACTTACTGCACTGCTCTGCACCATTCACACTGTACATATGACGCCCGCTCTCGTAACTCTTCCCTTCCCTCTCTTCTCTGCACTAAACTGGTCAGAGGCCAGCGTGGCCTGCCCAGTTACCATAGTAACATACCTGACACGAGCATATTGTACATGTTACTGTACATACGAACACTGACATCTGGCACTGTCGTTTTGCAGCAGCTTATCAATTCTGCCACCACAACATACATCCGCCATCTCCTGCCTATTGATACATTGTGATAGTGGCATGCCAGAGTGCTGCTTTGCTAGTATTCCCATTCTTATGGGCATGTTCCACTGCCATATTTATCGACTTTCACGGTCTCTGCCCTTTCTTATATTCTTTTTTTTATGAAATTTTGACAAAACGAACTCCATATTTCAATTTTGAAGTCACACGTGACTGCCTCTTATTTTGACCTCTATTTCCTTGAGCACATCTACACTGATACCGTTACATTATCTGATTTCCCGTGATCACCGAATTGCCCGGGTGAATTTCTTATCTGTTTCTGACTCGTGATGATTTATTTCACTTGCACTGATCATTCGAGTAATACGAATGGACTGTCAATGCTTAGATGTCCATGTCACTTGTGTGCAAACTAGGACATTTGAAGATTTCATATTCTAGTGTGTGAATCGTGTGACTGATATGCTGTAGTGTGCTGCTGGGATCTGGCATTGAGTTGGCCCGACCAGGTTGCAGCTAGCTGTGTGGACTCAGCTTTTTGACCGCCGGGCATGCATCTAGCTACCAAGCTCACTGTCCGGCCATTGTCGCGTTCCATCAGCCAGCTTGAACCCGAACGACTATGGTGCTGTCGAAGATAATAATGAACGCTGGACCGCCCCTTGGTCGTTTTACATACCATCATCATGGTCATGATTAATAATACTTCGAAGTAATTATTATTATGTGCATGCACATTCTTGTATTGTGGATTTGCACATACATGTACAAGTACCTGTATTCACGCTGAGCTGAGGTTGATCTGATTCTCTACCCAGATCAAGCAGTGATCATCTGCTACAATAGCTCGGTATCCAGGTATCTACCAAACCGTGGCATAGCACTTGGCAGCCCCGAACGGGCCGAAGACGTATCGTCACGATGTAACGTCGCTACATCATGTGGTGGTCCAGACTGATGTCCGCCAAGATGCTGTCTTTGTGGTTGTCAGACTGGATCGGTGACCCTGTACTGAGAGCGAGAGGCTACATTGTACAAAGTACTTTGTCTCACTCTGTCTTTGTCTTTGCCTTTGGCTACATAATATACAGTGACAATGACTGTCATGATGTTCACCCTGGCCTGGCCCTGGCCTCTCCTTTGCACAATTGCAGCCTGAGATTTATAATAGGTAGTTGATCACATGTACGCCATTTGCATGATTTATGGAGAATGAAAAGGTTGTCAGATCCTTGGTGCGGGTAGAGTTGAGCCGTTCCATTCTAGACCCATGATCCATTTCGTCGATCATCAGTTTTTGTTTTGTTACAGACTCGTCGAGCGGTTAGCAGCGAACCTTGTTGGGAGCTCTCCCCGTTCTCGTTATCCGCGGATAGGCGAAAGAAGAGACCCGAGTTCGAAGCTGCCTCGGACAGTCCGAGTGGAGGACGGTGGTTTTCTGGATCACGGTATCAAAGAGTTTAGTTGTTGTTCCTGGAGACTTGAGCACTCGAGTGAAGGTAGTGCTGGTGGTGATCTTTGCCTTTGGTTGTCAAGAGGAGGGCGAACGGAGCGGCCAGTAAAATGAGCGGTGGCGGTGTGCCAAGGCCAGAAGTGGTCAGCTCCTGGCTGAAAGGTCCCAGTTTCCCGACATCGGGTCACTCGCCCAGCCTGCTGTGCAACAACCTGAGTGTAGCGCGCTGCAAGAGCGCCACCAGGGAGACAGGCCTGTATGCTTTCGCCAGCGGACATCATTCGGTGATGGCATCGCGAATCAGCGACTCGGCTGGCAAATCTGAGGGGGTCAACGTGGCTCAGCTGACCCTGATGAGGTTCAGTAGCTCCTCCAAGTACTTTATGCCCATCACTCAGGTTGGTTTGTCTTCGGTTTCACTCGTAAGATATCCATACAGACAATCACATACTGACCCAGAATAAGGTAACAGACCTGACACCTTCTCAATCTGTAGATACATGTACACGTTGCTCGGTGATATTACCGGTACGCATCTACATGTTTCATAGTGAGGTCACAGTGTTCTCCCTGGTACAAGAAGTTCAGCATCAGTAGCTGTTCTACAGTAGACTCATACGGCCAAGAACGCGGTTTCAGAGGGCCAGCCTAGCAAAGTTCTTATTTTTCAGCGCCCCAGGCTACGTTCTTATTTCGCGTTCTTACGCGTCCAACATGACCCGTGACGCTCATGTACAATGCACTTAGTCTTTGCGCTACATGTACCGGTTGTACACTTTACATGCACGTACGTGTAGTATGAAGCGCTGCACTGGGTGATGTTTTCACGAGGACCCGACAAGAGTTTGTGGTTGCGGACTTGGTTTTCGTGTACTCGGACAAGATCATGAAGGTGCAATCCGCTTGCAAAACAAACCGGCCCTCAATATCACGTCTCTTTCTCTCTCTTCTTAAAAATCTTGGAGTTCGTTCTTAAATCCAGGCTGGGGCGTTCTTAGATTTCCAGCCTGGACGTTCTTGGGCGCCACGTTCTTGGGCGTACGAGTCTACTGTAGTCATTCATTGGTTGGGCAAATTGCACCGTGCCTGATTTCCACAACACTACACACTCAGTGACTGGCTAACTGACCAAACGGTAGACCCACAACATGTGTGTTAACAGGGAGTCATAGCATCCAGTGAGACGACACGAGATTATAGCACTCGCAACAATGTGTGTTTCGACCCCATGCTGGAAGTTCTGCTTGGTCCGTTATCTATGCAACTCATGATTGCGATCGCGGCCTTGACCTGCTGACCCAAACGCGACCCAGTCCAACGATGCCCTGTGAGCGCTATAATTATGCAAGCACGTAACAGTTATATACACACTTGAGAGGAATGAAAAGCGTTTCTGCTGTAACTCTGAGTTTCACGGTTTTAACCGATCATCAGACAGCAACAGCAACAGTTGCTGCCTGATGATCGGTTAAAGCCGTGAAACTCAAAGTTTCAGCAGAAATGCTTTTCATTCCTCTCAAGTGTGTGTAGACCCGGGTGCTCGAATGAGACACAGGGTACCAAAACAGAAACAGCTTGAAATTGTACCTAAACTTATTCCGATTTCGTTCAGTTTTCACATTTACCATCAACATACGGCCCGCTAACGGTATGCCAAATTTCAGCTCTGCCCGGTAAACGGTTTTTGAAATACTCGCGACCCACTTTTTGTTGGGTCCTTGATTCGAGGATGTGGATCTTCGGTACGGTGCTGCCAAAGACCTGCTGAATCTGCGGCTCCGCTGACCATCTTGCTCTCAAAAACGAAGTAGTACGTTACTACTCCCTGCCCTCAACTGCCATAACAAGCGTAGACGATGGTAGACCCGTGTGCTTGAATCGGAGACGATCTGACGAGTTCGCTGTTTCTGATTCGAGCACCCAATTTTCAAATAAAAAATCCGAAGGAAATACGACAATTTTACTGCGTACTGTAAGCTGTGTTGTAGCGCACCCAGGTTCTGAATTCCTGCTGGGTGGGTCAAGCCAGACTCTCTTCCCTGTTCCATCGCCTCTCCAAAAGTATATTCTGACATTGTTGAGATTTACAGATGAGAAATTTCACACCTGTCAAATCGTTTCTGATTCGAGCACCCGGGTCTACTAGGCACTGCACCCGGTGTATTGAGCACTGTCACGAGCAACCACAACTCCCTCCGAGTTTACAGTTATATAAATAATTGGCCCTACCCTAGTGAGACGACTGGAACGAGCATCCTGGGATGGGAAACCCACACCGTTGAGCGTTACAGTCAGCCGTGTCATCTCCCTGTATGCTATGACTACCTGATCTACACCGTCTACTGCGGGTTACCAATCAAAGAAGTCCCACCACCAACACCAGCAGCACCATCACCACCACCACCTCAGTTCATCCATGTTCAAGTCGGGCTATCAGAGTCAGGATACTCTCCCACTCATCCCACCATCTCAACCTTGAAACGACTACGTCGTCGTGTTCATTCACTGCTACTATGAGCTGATCCATGCACACGCATGCACCACCAATGATCTTGAACCAGTATTCCACCGCGAGAACAGGCTTGGCAGGCTTGGCACAGGGTGTTTTTCCTCTCCAAACAGGCATCTGATAATTGAACTCTGCCTGGATCATACGAGTATATCAGCCGCTATCACTAATGTAGGCCAGGCAGTTATTTTGTGTTGGGTCAGAGCGCTCTCAACTAGTGCTTGAAAGATGACAATGATTCGGGAAGACTTCAGGAACGTGTCCTGGTCTCCCTCGTTGTGTTGCTTTCATGGAATGAAAATGCATCATCGGCCCAATCCTGGTTTGTGTCTGTTTGGGGTGTTGTTCTCACAGGTCTCTCATGTCATGCTGGACCGAGACAGTCCGATCTGGGTTGCTTGTGGCGTGTTTGGTGCTATGGTAAGATAATGCAGTGTGCCAATGATATAGCATGAGCAAGCCTATGCACACTCACACACACACACACACACACACACACACACACACACACACACACACACACACACACACACACACACACACATACACACACACACATACACACACGTACACACACACACACACACACACACTCACAGAGGCACACACACACACACACTCACAGAGGCACACACACACACACCTGTCCTGTAGAGTCACTGCCGCAAAAGGGTCACGTGATCCCATCACTGGGAAACTTGAGAAGAGAGAGAGAGAGGACACGACGCTCGATGACGCTCCAGGTGCACGGGTAGTCGCATCCGCTTGCCGCATATGCACACACACACACACACACACACACACACACACACACACACACACACACACACAGACACACACACAGGCACACACCTGTCCTGTCCTGTAGAGTCACTGCCGCAAAAGGGTCACGTGATCCCATCACTGGGAAACTTGAGAAGAGAGAGAGAGAGGACACGACGCTCGATGACGCTCCAGGTGCACGGGTAGTCGCATCCGCTTGCCGCATATGCACACGTGCTGAAAGGCCGAGCGCTCCTCTGCTGTTGGTCTATGCGCCACCCTTGAACAGCGATGCCTTCCCCGTCCCCGGACACCGCGAAAGCAGCGACCACACCTGTCACAATGCGCGGCACAACATCCCTCCGCCGGTGCCGACGTTCCGGTAGTTCCAGGTGGCACTGCGGCATCCACCGTTGAGGCACACACATGCCGGACCAAGCCACCGCCCGCACTGACTGGCGCCCCGCTGCTCAGACACAGGCCGCGTACGCTCCTCCAGACACTTATGCCGAGCCATGTCTCCTTTCCGTGCAAAATCCCGTCCGCATACCGTACATACCACTCGGGGCGGAGGCTCAGGCACATTGTCAGGCTCTTGGTAGGTGCTGCGCCACTCCGCGCGGGACTCACATGCAACATCATACCATGATGCCTCCACGCCACGGGCACGTAGATCCCGGACAGCACAGTCCTTCCATCTGCGGCGTGGGCCATGTGCTGGGCGACGCTGCAAGAAGGAGCCAAACAGTACCTGTTTTGGGATGCGGTTGTCCGGCATCCGCGCCACATGCCCCAACCACTCCAACCGCCGATGTGCAATTTTGTCCTTAATCGTCTCGGAGTCTCCCCAGCGCACCAGCAGCTCTTCGTTGGTGATGTGTTCGTCCCACATCCGGCTTCGAGAGACCCCGAGGATGGATCGGATGCACCTCATGCTGAAGGTTGAGAGCTTCTGCAGGTCATGTTGAAGCACTCAGAGCCATACAACAGCAGGGACAGAACGCAAGCATTGAATACGCACCGCTTGGTGTGCATCAGCAGATGTGGATTGGAGGATACAGACCTCCGAAGAGCACCGCAGGCCCTGGAGGCTTGGGCAATCCTTGCGGCGATGTCCCGGGACGAACGGCAACCGCTGTCCACTACAGAACCGAGGTATTTGAAATGCGGTACGCATTCCACCTCCACACACACACACACACACACACACACACACACACACACACACACACACACACACACACACACAGATGGACGGACACTGTGAGAAGAAACTGCATAATCATACATGTACATACCTTCTACTGTTGGAAACGCAACGCGTAAACTGAACCATCCAACAAGTCCCCCCCCCCCCCCACTACCACCACCAATACACAGGCAATCACACTGACACAACGAGGTATAAAATGCGATTGCGTGGCTGCTGTTCTTGCATCTTGTTGTTCTTGTAGATAAACAGTGGTTGGGAGAAGCAGGTGATTCTCGGGAAGTTACGCCTAGAGTCAGCCTCCAAAGAAGACAACCTGGGCAAGAAAGGGGACTGGTATGCTGATGGTAAGCAACAGTAGTCAAACATGCCTTCGTATTCTCAGACCCCAACACAATGAGCAAGTAGATCTACACAACCCAACCAGTATTTCTCACCAATTTTCCAGTATGTCCCACTGCCAACGGTATAATATAGGGAACGTGTGCAGATAACTCTCTTGGCTTGAGAGAAGTCTCTCTCCGGGGCCCCCACCCCCACCCCTCTCTCTCAAAACGTCTCAATGCATGTTCTAAGCCTGAAGCGTAAGGGGCGCAATAACCTCGAGAAGCGCTTCAACCTAGACCAAAAGCAGATCATTACATTGAAGATTGGAGCTGTTTCCCTGCCTCACATCCTCAAGTTCTTAGCCGTCCAAGGTATTTGGCAACAGCTTGAGTGTCCAGTCCATGCGGTGATGTGCTGGCAAATGTCAAACTAGAATATTCTTAAAATACAACACTAGTGAGCTGAACCATGAACAGGAAAACTTTTTGAGATCTGATGATGTTGAAAGATCCAATGCACAATGCAATAGCCTACCAATTGTTCCTCATGTGTATGGGACGGGGAAGCAACGGTTAGGTTAGGAGCGCATGTATTTTTCTTCTCACTAAACTGACTCCTGTTGCTGTTCTTGGTCTTGTCGAAAAATTCCTTTGCAGAGTTTCTTCGTGGTGTTTGTGGCCATGGCGGTGTACTGTATCTAGGTAAGACAGTATGGGTAGATGAATACATCTACACTTACTCTCAGAGTTGTTTGATCATACGGTTGCGGAAGCAACTGCATGCGTGACATTGCTGCTGTTTATGTATGGAGTGGAGGGAATGTTGATGTACCAAACACTCTGCTACACGGTAATAATGTGTACATGAAATTGCCGGGGCTACAATGAATGTTCTATGTGGCTGGAGAATCCTAGTCTCATTCAAACGTACACGTATGTTCTAACATTCAAGGACTTGTGTGTTGTGTGTTGCACCCTACGTGGGAGCTCACCCTCGCAGTCTAGGTCTGTCAAGAAGCTATCTGTTAGCAACCTAGAGAACATTATTATCCATGATCCACATGCAACCTTCCGTCTCTTCTTTCTTTTGGATTTGGGAGTGAATAGCAACCAGACCCTCCTATCTTGTGTTTACACAGCCCCACATGAGATTGACTGTTCTCCAATGTCACCTATCGGCGTTGGGTGTGCACTGTGCAGCGATAACAGTGAGACAGGACTTTCCATCATCGTCCTATGCCTGACCATGATTGCTGTACATCAATCCGGGAAATTCTCTCATGCTCCGATTGAAGAAACCACTCCACATGTCCTCCATGATCACGCCGTGTAATACTGAGCAGTGGACCGGCCATCCTCCTACATCCACCCTGCTGCACTGTGCATGTCTTACCACCACCATCCATGCAGATCAGTGCCAGGAAAAGATGTAACCCTATGCGTGTACCTTTAATGTACTCGTGTCCACCCTAGGCCATTCTTCGGGCGACATCCTCCGGTGCACGTTGTCCCCTTCTGAGGAATGGCCGACCATGGCGATTCGCGCCAAGGAGAAAGCCGACGGTGTGCCGGATGACAAGCGGTCTGAAGTGACTATCACACAGCTATCCCGCTTCACCACCGAGCACCATCAAGCTGCCATCATGGACCTGCACACGGATGGAAAGACGCTGGTAAGCTGCGACGAGAACGGTGTCATCGTTGCCTGGAGTCTGAACGGGAAGGATCAAGCCAGGGTCACGGCAGTGTGCGACAGATGGCGGTACGTCGGACACTGGTGCAGCGGTCTGTGTGTGTGTGTGTGTGTGTGTGTGTGTGTGTGTGTGTGTGTGTGTGTGTGTGTGTGTGTCCCATATGGTGCAGTGGTATGTGCAGTCGATTTCCAATCGAGAGGTTGCGGGTTCAATTCCCGACGATTATGGTCGCACACGTCTTTTTCTTCTCTTTCTCATTCTCCTGGCTCTTCTTTCATTCTCCTGGATGGTTACCAACAGCCAGTGTATGCCGGAGTATGTGGTGTGGCGTGTGTATCGTGTGTGTGTAAAAAGTAAAAAGTAAAAAAAGAATGAAAAAATGGAAAAATGAAAAATAGGGATTCACTGGCCAGAAAAAAAGCCACTTCAATCAGCTGTGTGGTGGATACCAGGCTAAAATTAGTGGCGGTCAATTCATCAGCCTTGCAAGCTGTTGAATGGTGTAATCCCAGCACAAGTTGCTATGTCTAACATAGCTGTTCGCTATCATCGCTTCCGCGATGGGTAGGTGTGTGTGTGTGTGTGTGTGTGTGTGTGTGTGTGTGTGTGCGCGCGCGCACGCCGTGCATGTATGTACGTCGCTGACCGGGTATGGATTGTTGCTTTAATTAAAGGCAGTGTTGTCATCCATCACAGTAATCATGCAATTTGTTTCTTGCTGAAGTATCCTGTGTCCACTACTGTAACATAAGCGGGTACATGACACATTGTGTACAATAATAATATCATGCAGTTTCTACAGAATATCGGTATGCCTCAGTGAGAATAGATAGTAGAAGCCTGGCTGAACACACATGAATGGTGGCCAATCCTGTAACATAACTATTAGACTATTGCCTAGTTAGTCTCTCTTTCTTTCTTTTCTTTACATTTCGCCAGGCCACATGCATGCATCACAGCCCGTCTGATTCCGGGAGTGAACCTTGTTGCCGCTGGTTACAAGACCGGTCATATCCGCCTGTTGCGACCGGGTGACCTTAGCCTGGCTGTGGAGATCTGTGCACATGCCAAGACTATGACTGCCCTGGATGTGGCACGGAACCGAGTGAGTCACTGTTCACGCATGCAAGCTGCTATCATGCACATACACACACACACACACGCACACATGCACACACAGACACAGACACACACACACACACACACACACACACACACACACACACACACACACACACACACATATAGATCACATGATCACCGAATGTGCCGCGTTGGAATACATGTCACAATGTCAGCAGACAACAAGCAGCGGTGGTGGACTGAGGATGTAGCCTTCCCATTCACAGAAAAAGTCCAGCGGTGCAAGGGAATGGGAATCTTAATGTGCGGGTGCTTGTTTTCCCTCCAATTATTCAGTGGCAGCATGTGCGCTAGATTCATGTCCATGACCGAGCGAACAGCAGTGCTGACACTGACAGTGCATATCTTGCTCTGTTCTGCTCAGATTGTGTCTGCTGGAGAGGATAGCTACTGTCGTGTTTGGTGCGTTCAAGAGACTGCTGCTGGAGTGTACAATGTAAGTACAACCGACGCACGTTCAAACAAAAAGACCATCATTCATTGTGATCCGTGTGATGCATACAGCTTGTTTGCTGGGCATGTAGCTGACCGAGAAGGAAGAGACTGGTGTACATGAGAGGCACATCACACCAGGTCACTTCTTACCCCAGTGTTGTGTCAAACGCAATAAAGGTCTAAGTTTACATTTAAACACGAGCACGCACTCATGCGCCTGGTCATGTTCACACTGCTATCAAGAGTACATAACCAAGAGTGTGCAACTCGACGACCCCCCCCCCCCCAGCCCACGGCGGAATTTTCTTATGACATCAGTCTTTGGCGGCGGTTTGGCTCATTGATGCCATCATGCGTAGCCAGAGATCAAAGTACAAATAAGCTGTACATTACAGCTGTGGTAGTCGAAGCAGAACAACGGACGATAGATTGATGTGTCTTGAACCCGACGAACTCTCACCGTATCTACAAAACAAGCGCGGGAAAGTATACCCACTTCGTCATAATTCTGCCAAAGAATGACGCAATAAAAAAATTCCGCCGTGGGTGAACCCATCGCAGCTCAAGATAGTCGAGTTGCACACTCTTGCGGGTTATGTACTCTTGCTGCTATGTATGTTGTGCACCTACTTTCCCATCATCCCATGCTCCGCAGTGCACACCTGTATGCAGCCTAGTCTCCTTCTTCTTCAGACAGCAGCTGGGGTTCTGGAATACAGTGATGACTGGGGTACTGACATACAGTAATGGCTCGCCATGGAGACCCATCAGAGCAGCCTTCTCTTTTAAGCCTTGATGGCTTTGAAGTCAAAGGAAGACTTGCTCGACCCATAGGACCTTTAACTGCTTCTATTGCAGCAGATCGGATGCCCACCCTCCACTCCTGAGCCCCCCCCCCCCCCGCAAAATATTCGAGTGTTTTTTCCACTGGTACTTGTTTCTCATAGTTTTTTTTTCTGGGTATCCTCATCCATTGTGTTTCACGATAGGTTGAACAGGAGCACTACGTATTTGCAGAGGACGGTATATTCACCGGAGTTGGCTTCAGCGGCGACGACGCACACACGTACTACATGGCTATGTATGACCTACCCAGTATACCCAGTGGGAACAGAGTGTTGCTGTGAGTTGCTGTGAGGCCACCATGTGCTGCTGATGGAGCTGTGAGGACCAGCTGTCACCGATGGTGATCTGTAGAGTACGGGCTAGCTGTGGTAGGCTTGAGCCAGAACAACCCAGAACCTTTGCTTGACTTTAGACATGTTGCTGTTCTGGAAGCTCTTGCTTGGCAAGAAGTGTGCAGCGGATAGCTGTAGGCTTCGAGAGTGCGGGGTACTGGATCACTAAGAGAACACTCTGTGAAGTATAGGTTCGAGTGGGAGATGGATGCCGCACATGGCTACACTACAACTGAACATGTGCATACAACACTGGTGTCTGCACCGTATGGCAGCATTCCCCCTGAAACTGCCTTGTTCCGTACGCAGTCACCGTTGAATCATGTAAAATGAACGTGGTGCAATGTGTACATGTACATAGTGTACGCAGTGAGTCCTCCTGAGTATGGATGCAGCCATTGACTATACACTGGCCTGGTGCTCATTGATCTGATCCCCTTGCAGTTCAGGATACTACGACTATCCGCACATTCGTATTATTTCCATTCATAATATTATTATTTGTAGCAACGCGATTGCTCATAAACTTACCTGTGCTCTTTCTATTGACGCCTGAAAGTATAATTCATTAATTGTGCACTTTGTGCAACTATTTTTTCTTAAAATATTTAAATTTAATAGCAATGCTATTAAATTTACTTCGAAGTAAATATTTAAAAAAAGATTCTATCGTCTGCATACATGTATGTGGCGTTCTGCGTTGTAGTGGGCCCCATGTGTAAAGTAACGTTAGAGAGAGAATTCTTCTAGTAGTGCTGGGAGGAATGTTCGAACCAGGGAGTTGTAAAATGCCAGGTAGTTTACGACTCCCTGGTTCGAACATTCGAATATCCTAGAATGTTTTTGAAGGAAAAAAAACATTTGAACGAAAAGCCAACATTCGAACTTCCGAGTGTTCCAATGTTGATCTGCATTTGAGCATAAGATGCACGTTTGATGGGCGCACGGGTGCTGTACTGTACAGAGTGTGTGTGTGTGTGTGTGTGTGTGTGTGTGTGTGTGTGTGTGTGTGTGTGTGTGTGTGTGTGTGTGTGTGTGTGTGTGTGTGTGTGTGTGTGTGTGTGTGTGTGTGTGTGTGTGTGTGTGTGTGTGTGTGTGTGTGTGTGTGTGTGTGTGTGTGTGTGTGTGTGTGTGTGTGTGTGTGTGTGTGTGTGTGTGTGTGTGTGTGTGTGTGTGTGTGTGTGTGTGTGTGTGTGTGTGTGTGTGTGTGTGTGTGTGTGTGTGTGTGTGTGTGTGTGTGTGTGTGTGTGTGTGTGTGTGTGTGTGTGTGTGTGTGTGTGTGTGTGTGTGTGTGTGTGTGTGTGTGTGTGTGTGTGTGTGTGTGTGTGTGTGTGTGTGTGTGTGTGTGTGTGTGTGTGTGTGTGTGTGTGTGTGTGTGTGTGTGTGTGTGTGTGTGTGTGTGTGTGTGTGTGTGTGTGTGTGTGTGTGTGTGTGTGTGTGTGTGTGTGTGTGTGTGTGTGTGTGTGTGTGTGTGTGTGTGTGTGTGTGTGTGTGTGTGTGTGTGTGTGTGTGTGTGTGTGTGTGTGTGTGTGTGTGTGTGTGTGTGTGTGTGTGTGTGTGTGTGTGTGTGTGTGTGTGTGTGTGTGTGTGTGTGTGTGTGTGTGTGTGTGTGTGTGTGTGTGTGTGTGTGTGTGTGTGTGTGTGTGTGTGTGTGTGTGTGTGTGTGTGTGTGTGTGTGTGTGTGTGTGTGTGTGTGTGTGTGTGTGTGTGTGTGTGTGTGTGTGTGTGTGTGTGTGTGTGTGTGTGTGTGTGTGTGTGTGTGTGTGTGTGTGTGTGTGTGTGTGTGTGTGTGTGTGTGTGTGTGTGTGTGTGTCAGGGTACAAGCAATAACCAGGTGCATGCATAGTCAAATCACATTCCAAAGAGCTCGGAGAGTTCAAACTAGGCACAAGAGTGCACTTGCAAGGTGCATGCACATCCCGGAACAGCCTTCGCATTCTTCCCTGAACAGCGGAAGCACGGGCAAGTAGCATTCTTCCTGCCTTCCTATGTTTCCTTTTTTTGTTGATATAGTACACAACCCCCAAGAGTGTGCAACTCCCACATACCCTGCTGTCCCGACAGAATTTTAAGTTGACGTCATTAATTTTATGATGCAATTCTCCTTGCACTAGTGATTTACAACATGTGTACGGGTGTCAACGCATCACACGTTTTTCTCTGCAATAATTTGTACAGGATCGGATGGGCTTCGGTCCACCACCAAGAGTACACAACCCCCCAGAGTGTGCAACTCCACTATGGGTGCTGTCCCGACAGAATTTCAAGTTGACGTCATTTTGATGATGCAATGCGCACTGTACACGGATTATCAGACGAATCTGGAACCTGTGGTTGACCGAAGCCGATCGATCCTGTACAAATTATTGCAAAGAAAAACGTGTGATGCGTTGACACCCGTACACATGTTGTAAATCACTGCATGCAGTACTGGTGCAAGGAGCATTGCGTCATAAATAAGGACGTCAACTTGAAATTCTGTCGGGACAGCAGGGTATGTGGGAGTTGCACACTCTGGGGGGTTATGTGCTCTTGCCACCAGGGAGTAGTACAATACAATTGTACAACTCCCTGCTTGCCACCACACGTTCCGGATTCGTCTGCCAATCAGTGTACAGTGCGCATTGCACCATAAACATGATTTCAACTTGAAATTCTGTCGGGACAGCACCCATAGTTGAGTTGCACACTCTTGGGGGGTTATGTACTCTTGCTGCTATGTGACTAATGTATTTGGCACATTTCAAAGATGGGAGAAAGTTAGAACATGCATTCGCTTGGTAAACATTCATAACTGTAAGAATATCTGTCGCCCCAGCACTGCTTTTAAGCAGGGAGTAGTTAATACTCGATCCCTGCATCTAAGAAACCAACAGACATTCCATTCGAAGTATGGAGAGTGTAATCGAGGAAATGCTCTTTCAATTGAAACAGGTGCATACCTGGAATTGATATCTTGGAATGTGGTTAAGACATGTTTTGTCGCGTACTGTATCATGAAAAATTGAAGGGTATCAATCTTACAGAAAGGTGTACACCGGACGCGGAAATAATAATGACACAATTATGATGAAGCTCAAAAAGAGCAAAGCAATCTGAGCCTGAGGGCAAATTTCCAACATAAATTCATGGCGTGGAATAGAAGAAGAATCAGGTTCTACACACCACTAGTAATGCTATATTGCGACATTCACACCGGCAGTGCACACAGTGTAATATGCCTGGTGTAGCGATTAAACGATGTAAATGCCGGATTTTCAATCATGGACACTTCCTAATACGTGTCTAGAGAAAAGAGCACAATAGAAACGGGTCCTTTCACATGCGAGCAGGTCAAGGATTTGGTTGTTCTGTATACCTAGGGTTGAAAACTTCAGTACGTTGTGTTTGCATTCTTTTATATGCCTAAAGGAGTTAAAAATGTGTTTGATATACACAAACAGGATAAAAAATAATAATAAGAAACCGTTGCGACAACACATACCCAATCGTGGTAAGGGTAAGGGCAAGTTGACCGACACTACATCACTACATGGGCGAGGAGGGAGCGTTCTGCACAATGTAATTCAACAGGTCAATGCGGGTGACAATTCCAAAGATGGTGGTCTTGGATGACAAGCCCGCCGAAGAAACTGAAGAGGACAAGAGCGCACAACCAAGAAAGCGGTACACATCAATGGCAAATGGCAAAAGTCAAACCAAGGAATCAACACCAACTTTCAATGACCCCTGATAATAGCATGCGAGCGTAAGACGCTCTTCAGACTACGTGCATAGAACATCCAGTACAAATCTACTGCGAACACAAGTACAGTAGAACCTGTCAAGGCGACCACCTGCCTCAGAGGACCACTACTGTCTACATATAGGACCGAGGGATGCCATTCCCAGTCAAATGACCCTGGGTAAGGAGGCCACCTGTGCACAGCGACCACATTTTTGAAGGTCCCTTGAGCGGTCGCTTTAGACAGGTTACACGGTATATAGAAATACCCGATGTTGCACAAGCCCGCAAGTACACGCACGCAGCGAAAGAAGTGGCAAAGGATGCACACAGCTATGTATTCTTCGCAGACTAGTACTCACCAAGTTTCTGTTGCTGGACAATGATGGCATAGTGGTCATGGTCAAGGATGCGTGACAGCGCTCCCAGACTGGTGCTGATGTCCAGCTACACGGACACAATGTGAAAATCAACACACAACATGTAGATGACGTGGCACAGGCATGTTCTACATGCGTGCTACCTATCACACGGTGAAAGACAACACACAACATTGCTGGGCACATGGATAATTTACAGTGCTATCCAGCTCGTGTATCACTCCCATTCATCCATACTGCAGTACCCAGAGTCATCAGTATTATTATTTCACAATGGCACAATGTCAACACACTGAAACATGTAGTGTGGGTGACTATAACCAGCCATGTTGGGAATATCCTGCAACCCCAACCTTAATAGCAAGTTAACTGGCAGCAACATGAAACTGGCATGGCTTCTGCAGCGCTGACTAGGCAAATCAGAACATCCGCTCAAGCCGCCAGGTGGAAGTGTGAATTAAGCTGCGTTCTGCTGAGCACAGCTGCAGGGTGTCAACAGTCGCTTGACTGAGGATGCAGCAGCAGGAATATCACTGGTCGAACTCCACTGGCCAGCACTGTAGTTGCATTACCCACGAGCAGAGAGATGACTTCTGAAAGTCACACAACTACTGAGGTATATCCACCTAGCTGAGGTCAAAGACAAAACCCAAATCACTGCTAGACTTGGGCATCATGGTGCTTACCTGCTTGAACTGGCCATACTGTGCCTTGGACACCTCGTCAGACTTCTGAATAGTACCCTTCAAGATCTTAGCCATCAGATTACCCAGGGTGACCATGCCTTGCACAGAGCTGAGCAACAAGCACATGAAACGTAACCGAAGGTCAGAATACATGTACACACTCAAAGCAACGCGCACGTGTCGTAGAGCAGTGGAAACACACAGGAGGAGTCCTCGCCTGTGTCCATACACACACACACACACACACACACACACACACACGATACAGACCATCACGAGAACCAGACACAGCACGCGTTTGTAACACACGCACGCACAACACCACTACAACAGTAACTATACGGACTAGAGAGATCTCTTGTGGTGTCACACCAAGTATTAAACAATGTAGGCGGACTGTGATGTACAATACACTCGCAAACCTGGGCGGCAAAGACAACATCTGCAAAACAATTGACATTCGCATTATCAAAACCTACCCGTCGTCGCTAACAACAGGAATCTGATCGTATCCACCCCTATGGCAGAGAAAATGAACAGTAGGGACAACAATCAAATGGATAACAGCCAATAGCAGGCAGAGATGAACATACACACATTGCCGGAATTCGTGCTCAGAACAGCAGCAGACAAGCACCACAGGAATTCCATTCAAAACAACACACAGGCACAGTAGTGACAGCAGCAGCAGCAGCAGCACACTCAGACTACCGTACTCATTCATGAATTTGATGCAGTCGCAGCACTTGACACTTGGCAGCACACTGAGCGGTGTTCCGAGCTGCAACATGCTGATGGGCTGGTCAAACCACCTGTGGCCAAGACAAATGCAAGCAAGACAAAAATAGAACCAGAACATACTTGTTTTCCTGAACATAAAAGAGGTGTTCATGTCAGCAAAGTCATAGCAACAAAAACAATGTACAAGTAACCACAAGTATAAAGAAAAGACAAAAAGAAAGAAAGAAGAGTCACAATACAGGTGTACTTGTAAACCAGAGCTAACCATGGCTTGGGTGTTGCGTCAGTGTGGGGCTCGATGAAACCCTCATTGACCATCCAGTCATCAGACAGAAACTTGGTCCTGATAACAGAAACAGAGAAAGGACAGTGAGTGGGATAACAAAAACGTACAAAAATGGACTTAGTTACAAGTACAATGGACATGGGAATGGCAAATACACCTGGCTTTTTACAATAAGACCACCAATGCGACTACTCTGAGAAGGGGACAGCCCGTCACAGAAGACTAATAAAAACCTGGACCAGAGGCTGTTGTTACTACCGTAAAATCCCGCCAGAGCGCCCCGTCTCTCCCATCCGCCCCTCCCTGACTTCTTGTCAGAAGTGATTGATTGTATCATCGTATGACTCTGTGATGCCGTACTGTACTGCAGACGCGTGCTCGACCCCGTTGGAAATGTACGCAACAGTGTCCACCCTCTTGACCAGGGATCGCACAAACCCTGAGTTTCGACGGGTCTGTACTACTCCTGGCTCCTGACCGTAGGTCGGCGTACGAGATGCATGAACAGTTTTCGTAGGGGAGTACTTTTTCATGTAATACTGAATGCGGCAAGTAGGACTCGCCCATCCGCCCCTCCCCACCTGAACCTACTCGAAGCGTCGAGGAGGTAGGGGCGCTCTGGCGGGATTTTACGGTACTACGCAAATGACCATGAAGAAAGATCAGCCGAACACAAGGGCAGTGTTGCGGTCGTTCAGTTGTGCGCTGGCACGTGTACAGGTTCCACTGTGATTGTGGATGCGATAGAAAACAAAGTCCAGTTCTCATTGATAGCAGATATGCCCTAGCGAAGCCATACAACATGCTAGTCGGGTGCTCCTCTATGAAATCCGATCAGGCAAGTCAATGTCATGCCGGGCGGGCAACGTGCAGTACCAGACCTGTGAACAATGGGCTGTGCAACAATGCAGGACGCAAACGCGACTCACGCAAACAGATTCCGTTGAGTAGCACTGTACATTAATTTGCTTACATATAGTTGCGGACAGAGTCGGGCAGGACGACAACGCAGCGCTGTCCCTTCTTCAGGTTCTTGGCCTCCTTCAGTGCCACGGAGAGAGCAGCACCACTGGAACCACCGCATAGCAGACCCTCCTCGCGCATCAGGCGACGAGAGCACTGGAACGTCTCCTTGTCCATGGTCTTCGCCCAGCTGTCAATCACGGAATGGTCAAGAACGGTGGGGATGAAGTCGTAGCCGGTGCCTTCAACGTGGTACGATGTCACATCGGTCTTGTTCATCTCCTCGGGACGAGCAAGGATGGAGCCATATGGATCAACACCGACAACCTACAAGGCAAGACAGCAACATCACGAATCAGGAAAGTGCCAATGCCAGTGCTTGTACATGCTACACATCTACACCGTCAATGATATTTCCTAAGAAGAATGAGGTGAGCCAGACCCATTAAAAGACTAACTGAACGTTGTAAAAACATCACATTATTATACATGTAGGACTTTGAAGTAGTAGGCACTAGTCATTGGAACAATAAAAAAAAAGAAATAATGCATAGCTAAACTTGCTTTGTCCAATAGACCCGTCCCCAGCCATCCTTTGTACAAGCCCGAAGTCTGAGCTTGCACAATGCAAGAAGGCAAACACTAACCTGCACAGATGGTGCATGCTCCTTCATGAAGCGACCAATGCCACTGGCAGTGCCACCGGTACCGGTTCCGACAACAACCATGTCAAGTTTGCCTGGCAACGGCAGAAAGACAATACACAATACACAAACACCAACGTTAAATGACAGACATGTGCTGGACCGTAAATTCACATGTTCCGCAGCTAAGAGGGGGGGGGGGGGGGAGAGAGAGAGAGAGAGAGAGAGAGAGAGAGAGAGAGAGGAGAGATGAGAAGCATTCCACGGTCATTCAACATGATGCCAGATACAAGTACCACCCACAGAATTCAACACTGATGGACAAATGCATAGTCTGTACCCATAACACCCAAAGATTGGGTGGGTGGGGTTGAAGGGCAATGGTTCACCCCTATCTTGTAAACGTTAAAATCTGACAACTCTAGATCACGTCATTTCCACCGTAATGGTTGCCATGATGACGGCAGAGACATCCAACTCTAAGCAACCACAGTGCACAAGGCAACACTGGCGAAGGACCTGACAAACCAAAGGCCAACACCACTGCAGGCATACTGACCTTCGCATGCCTTGAAAATTTCAGCACCAGTTCCATCGTAGTGAGCGAGTGGGTTGCTGGGGTTGCGGTACTGCGTACATACAAGAGAAAACAAAAGGGCAGAGAGAGATGGATATAAACGACATGCCAGACCAGAGACCAGTAGCAATATCAGTGCCACAACACAACAGCACGATTGACTTGTAATGGTGGATTCCTACTGACTTAGGTAGGCCTTCACTTGAAGAATAGCAGAAGCATTGGCTCCCTAAAGACTTCCCAGTAAAAGCATGCCAATAGCGGTCACATTACAAGGATGGATTGCAGACAGCTCATTACAAACACGGTGCGGTACATTAATGTTAGTGCAGCAACAGCACATCCTCCTAAGCAAGATCATACCTGATCAAGGATGTGGGAGTTGGGGATCTCCTGTTGCAGACGCTTCGCAACACCAATGTGGGACTCTGCAAGCAAAGCGATGACAGAAACCACCACAGCAGGATAATAATTATACTACAGAATGCAATCACGACAGGAGCACGAGACTGCACTGAGTCACATCGGCTGACAGTGATTATAACCGACTTTAAAGCACGTCGGAAAACCTCTCCACAAGGACACAAAAGCAGTTCCGCAACTCTACAACAATCTTCCGAGCCAGCTATGAATTTTCTTGAACAAAGTACTCGTCCATGGATATTCACTCAAGCTAAGGCTTGGCCCACAGGCAGCCAGTAGTGTAACGACAGTAGTCACATGAGAATACTAACCATTGGAGTCATATGCTGCGGAAGTCGGCGTGCGGACAATCTCAGCGCCAAGAGCACGCAGCACATTGACCTGTACACGAAATAAGCAAATTGACATAATTATTATGCGCCACTCAGGTGGTACATGTAAAGCAGGTGGCAAGGCGAACTTTACTTTTTTACTACACATACAATAGAGGTGGTAGGTGCAAACAAAAGACACAGAGATGAACAGCAGCATTGCATATTCGGTATGTGCATGCACCTACGGACAGAACCACTTACGCATGCGCGTATGCACACACAGAACCACTTACGGATGCACGGACACACACACACACACCACACACACAATGCACATTGCCTCAGGTTGAAGACATCTTCACAAACCCTGGTCAAGTCACATTACCTTCTCATTGCTCATCTTCTCTGGCATGACGATGATGCATCGGTAGCCTTTCACAGCAGCAGCCAAGGCCAAGCCAATACCTATACACCACACACAATACAATGTGTGGACCGTTACACAGGTGTTCATGGTACCCACACAAACACACTGATACTGCCGTGACAATTTCCCCCAACCAAACTTGAAAGATTCATTATTCAGTTTGGACGAGCGTTGGGTTTAATCATGGTATACTGAGCATGACCCGCTTACAATCAAGGGCACCAAAGAGCCAAACCCTACACCAAGTACAGGTCTGCTCTCGATATAACAACTCTCACTTGTACGTAAAAAATCAAATCCCACGCCAAAACAGCATCACTCCCATACAAATTTTGTTCTACACAACATAATCCTACATAACATAAACCTCGACATAACACACGCTGCTGTGCGGTCCCCGACGTGCGCACTCTCGATACAACGTAAATTCACGTGCACGGTACGATCAAGCGGTAGCTGTAGCAACAATTGTAGGCAGTTTAGGCCAGTTTAGTCCTACATAACGCAAACCTCGTCATAATGCACCCTACGGCACGGTCCCCGACGTGCGCACTCTCGATACAACGTAGATTCACGTGTGCGGTACAATCAAGCTGTAGCCGTGGCTAGCCAGTTTAGTCCTATTGTGCATATATTCTGCGGCATTGATGGTATGATGGTATCTGATGTCGATGGTGATACAGTGTGTATATGTTTGCACGGTTGAACCCGCCTTGTAATACCCTTCATTTTGAGGTACATCTTGTATTTTACACACGGTTTTCTACATAACATAGCTCTCGATATAACATAATTTTTGCGTGGTCCCAGAGATTACGTTATATGGAGAGTAGACCTGTAGTTGACTGCTTTACCTGTGTTTCCTGATGTCGGCTCAATCAGAGTGTCACCTGGCTTGAGATGGCCACCTTTCTCAGCATCCTCAACCATTCTCAGACCAATGCGGTCCTTCACGGAACCACCAGCGTTGAAAAACTCGCATTTTGCAACTGAAGGAAAAAACAAAACGCAAGAACAGCATCGTCATCTTCAGTGAAGGTAGCAGGAACAGCAGCAAACACAATACTACGGGTAATAGTTCTCTCGTGTAAACAGGACCTAAGCCTAAGGAAGCAACAGTTTCTCAGCAGGGACTACACAAACCTTGCACTGGATTTCAATGTCCACAACAGTATAGTACTGTATGTACATCTAACTGGTCAGCAACGTGAACGTTTAACCAATTCTGGATGTCAAAGTCAGCAAACAACTAAACATACTAATTATGTGTACATACATTTTGTACATATTGGATTCAAAATTAAAGGAAAAGACAATGCAACATTACAGTCTAGTACAATGTACTCTTGGGCTTGATGAATGGGCTTTTATTCCAGACAGCTGCCACATATATCCAGATACAGCCAGTAAAGACCAGTGGAGCTACTCCAGGGTGCATGGCACAAATGGGGCCATCCTATTTCAAGTGCCTTGACACAATCCAACACTAGTACTAGCACATGCAATGTGTATTACAAAGGCAGAAGAGAATAGAGACAGCCGGCTAGGTCATTGTTGTAACGCTGCGTGTCATGCACATAGCAAAGCTAAGGCAATCCTCAGACAACTGATAACCTGTACATCATCTGGGTCCAAATTTATACCCTGGCAGGTAGCTAAAACAGGGCGCGCAAAGTGAGTGAAGCGCGAAAAAGCACGAAAAGCAGGTGGCATAGCGCGCAAAGGTGGCAAAAGCGCGACATTAGTGTGACATTTCAAGTGATACGTTAGTTAGGGAGATATGGTGCGGATGGTGTCGGTTATTACATGGGAGGTGATAAAAGGAGGGAGAGAAGGAGGGGTGACAGTCAACACATAAGTCACAGTGACAGCGGGCAGGCAGGCCCTGGTGGCGGCATGCAGGTGACTAAGTGACGCCAGTGCCGTAGCGCGAGAGGTAGAACTTATTCTGGTGTCGACATTTTTCGTTTAGGAGCGTGGCTGCATCAGCGCGGATGATTTTGACCTTCTCCTCTAAGCACAGGCCACATCTTTTTGAGATGTTGCTGTAGGTCTTTGCTCTGTCGACGATGGACCATCTGATGTCGTACTCTTCACCCTGGTCCTGCAGTGCCCACAGGTGCTTCGACAGCTGCGTGCTTTTGCGGTACTTTTCGTATCTCATAGTCGTGAGGTGGTTGCTATAGCACGTCTTGAACGGTGTCTCGCAAAGCCCAAAGTACCGCCTCTCGTCACCTGAGCTCTGGGCCGTGACGTTCGCTTGATAGACCACCCTTTCCTGCAAACACCGGCCGTCCAGAGGGCAAGAGGGTTTAGCTCGGCAGTTGCATTCCTCTGCTGGTTTTCGGCGACTTTTCGCACGTCGGCCGGGGCCAGCACTTTCTGGTTGTGCCCCTTGATTATGCAGGCCATGTTAGGCATACACGAGTAGCTGACCTTGACCGTATTTTTGTTGAAAATTTTACAAAGAGGTGACGATGTCGGGAAGTGCTTTCGAACCAGCGTCAGGAACCTCTGGCCGATACTGGTAGACACGGATTTGCTGAATGGCGGGTTGTACCAAATTATGTTTCTCTTTCTTTCTCGGCTCTTCTATGCAATGTGCATTACGTAGAGTGCACATTCATACAATGCAACTTAGAGTGAAGCCTAAGCTCACACAGGTGGTCTTCTTATCTTCTTCGTTAAAGGTAGCTAGGAGCAATGTTACTGTGCATGATATTCCAACTTGGCAATCAATATGATGCCCAGTTTTCTACTGATGCTGGTCTTGTTCAAGAGAAAATTTTGAACAACAAAAACGCAATCAATACACCCAACCTGACCACAGCTTTCTTCTGCACTTTGTGTCTTAGCAACTCTGTTTCTTTGGAGGTTTGAATGGACGTAGTGCATGTTTTACGTCATGAAGTACAAAACAATGGTCCTTATGCACGTTGTACAGATGTAAGAAGTTCTGTACTATTGCCGTAGGTGTGTACATACTCGGTTGGGTGTTCATTGTGTGCTCTGCTCTACAAGCACACTCGACCATTTTAGCCTCATTATCAATGGAAAACAATCGCTTTTCCAGCTGCATCACTTTGGATAGCACTGATGACAAGGACAGGCGCGTAACACCGCCGTTGGAGGTGGCGGACGGAGGGGGTCCGGGGGAAATTTTCGAGGGTGCAAAATCCTGCACCCTGGGCACTTTTGGCATTGTGTCAAAAAAATGTGGTCCGGCCAGACCGGCTGCTACGCCCCTGAAGGAAGATCTTTGTCGGAAAAAAGTTTGCGTATGAAAATTTAATGCCTTAGGGCCCATTTTTTAGTGGACAAAGCAGTAGACACAATAGGGTTCTGCGCAACACCCAACCGGGTCTACAGGATTATAGGATTTCGTGCTTCTGTACAATGTGCATAAGGCTTATAACCATCGCATTGTACATTGTGCTTGAGCTTTCTGCATTCTGCATGCAAGATCAGACACTGCCTATGATTTGCAGACTACATCCTGCACAGAAACAGACTTGGTCCATATGGCTGCACTACATGTACACACCCCCAACCCACCCCCAGGCCATAGCTCCAAGTCAACCATGCCACCAACACTATGAACACAATGGCCAGGAAATGAATCATGAATGGGAGACCGACTGTGGAAGTAGGGAACTGAATCACACACACACACACACGCACAAACATACGCGCGCGCCCTCCCGCTTAGGACGCCTACATACTAGTACTGTATAATTATGTCGATCAATCACGACCACGGCATGGATCTCGTACGGATATGCGTGGATTGTGTGATGATGCGAGGAACGCAAAGATAGCTACAATCATGTTCATAACACAAGTGACGAACAACATCAATAACTTATATCAATGACTCACGCAGCTCGCACTCGAGGCCTTCACTTTTCTCAATGTTCTGCAGACGCACGAGTGGCGTATTGCCAATGTTGCTAAGGACATTGGGAAGGATTTTAGGTCTCTCCGCGCTGAACAATGCGCAAAATACCAAAAAAAACCGATACGAAACTCATTAGAAAGCGAATGAAACAGATATCCTGCTGAGGTCATGCTACAACTCAGACTACTCACAGCGGAACATGGATATGAGGGCTCTTTTCCTCCCCGTTCGGCTTCCAAGTACATTTGGAAGGCAAGTTAGGCTGACGCCATTCGAATGGGTAGTCCGAACTCATAATTCAACGCCAAGTGAAAACAAATAGCAACCGCGGAACAACGTCCCAGCAAAACAGCACAATGCCAACGAAGGTCTTCTTTGCAGTATTTTCAGCGATTAGGATGGCGATCGGACTACCAGACAACGCAAGCAGACAACCTGACAAAGAACAATCACACAGGAGTGAAGTGTGGAGGTTCGACTTCTCCGTCAAAAGACTTGCACATTTTACCAATGATGTGGCCGTGGGGAGCCCTGGCCCGCTTGCAGCTAGCCGGCCGGGGCCGGGGGTACTGCATGCAATGCCAGGAAGTAACCTTTTACACAGTTGGGAGTCGTAAAAGACTCACTCACCGAACCTGGACTGTCACTGGTTTTGCGGATTGGATCGATCGATCGCGTGGAAATGAAATACGTAAAACGCGAAAAGCGAAAAGCGCACTGCATTATACCAAGAGTCCATAACCCCCGGGGGTTATGGACTCTTGATTATACATGACTGCACGGGCGCGGGCCCGGGGGCGCTCCCGGGCCGTGGGCTGCGGGACCACGTGCATGTATGCATTGCCTTTTTTTGTTTTTGTTTTTTTGACATCATGATCCTGATGATCGTGGTGATACATTTTTGAAAATGCAAAACGATTCATCACTTCGAAAATTTCCTTTCGAGGCATACTACTTACTAGTATCGCACTTGCAGCACTTGCGAAGTTGCGAAGAGCACAGGGTGGATACAATCATACACAAGGTAACAGTTGAGAGAAATGCCGAGGCACTCACAGCTGAGTCAATTCCACAAGCTTGAGTAGTCTCGAAGTTAGTTGCAGGCTTACCAACCAATACAATTTTTATAGGCTTTCCATCCTCTCCATCACACTGATATTGGTGCATTGCATGCCCGATTGGGTGGAATAATCGTTTACAATGGAGACTCTTGCAGCGCTCAACTCACAGCTGGAAGCTTTGGAGCAGAATTTGCCACAAGGTGAGACGTTGCCCCAATCGTGTAGGCAATGATCTCCGTCCTCCGAGTTCTTTCTTTTTCAATTTGTATGACGTGACAACAGTCTTGGCAGATCTACCCTAAACGTAACCATACGGGTACTTGTGAGAACACTTAAACAGTAGTATAGAAATTATGTACCGGTTCATAGCCATATACCCCTCAATGTCCTAACATTGTCTACAGAATGATGATACAATGTACTAAGTACAAGTACAGTCTGTATCGGCTATAGAGTGACCGGATATAAGAATATATCGGCTACAGTGATATTGGTACGAAGTATCAAAAGCAAAACGTATTGTATCCAGTAAAAATATCACTATAACCAATATTATCGGGTGTAATGATATATTGGATATTATGATGGCAATAAAGAATCAAAACATGCATAACACACAACATGTACCGTAGAATCCCGCGGATAAGCCCATGGGCTTATCTGTTTCACAAGGACATTTCGGTGGGCTTATACGAGAACATGGGCTTATACGCGGGCATGGGCTTATACGCCGACACCAAGTTGTGCTATTGAAAAGTATCAAGGAAGTGAGAAATACATGCTAAAAACCACTGTGCAAACAAAAACAACCTATGATTGTGCTGAAATGTACTAAAAATATTATTAATGTGCATGTACTACGTACATGGTATGGCCAAGAGTCCATAATTTATGGACTCTCGGTGTGACCTAGGCCCATGGGCTTGTACGATGAAGCTGTGTGATGTTCGAACAAACCCTGGGCTTATGCGCGGGCATGGGCTTATACGCGGGTGGGCTTATCCGCGGGATTCTACGGTATATTATTATCGGCTATAGTGATAACTTTAAAATACATGTAGCAATAATATCAAAGGCCCTAATTTTTACTTTCTTCACGTTGCTTATTTTTATAGTGATACATGTACATGTACATAACAGAATTTTTTTATGAAAATGCAGGCACTATCAACTATGCAGCATGCTCATTTGTCAAAACGCCATGCTGAAAGACTGTATTTCCTTGCCTTTCATGTGTCGATCGAAAAAAGAAAAAAAATCGATCGTATTGCATATAGTGATGCATCGGTTATAGTGATAAAATCACGGAAATCAAAAGGGTACGCTATAGCCGATACAGACTGTACTGAGAAGGGAAACTAAAGCTTTGTTGCGTCACATAAGCAAAATTGGCACATGTGGGGTGGTTTCACCAAGAGTAAATGAGCTCCCAAGGGCATGCAACTCTGGATACCCTTTCTATGGGGTCTGCTGACAGGGAAAACTCACATGTGATGTAGTGTTCACGTACGTTCCCAGCCCGCTTTACAACCGGCCAGTGAAGTAGCAAAAATAGCACTCCCTGACAGAAGCCCACTCAGCTTATGCGAGTCGTCAGCATGATTCATGGCAGATATCCGGATTGCGTGCATGGCTGCATGTTGGCCTTCGTTGTACGTACATGTAGTACAAATCATGCTTTGAAGAAATAATGTGAGTTTTGTCATCGAAGACCCCATATGTAGAGTTGCACACTCTTGAGAGCTTCTTTACTCTTGATTGCACTGGTTCACATAACTGCAATTTGCTGGGAGAGGTTGTGTCAGCCCTTACAGTAATACTCAGAGTTTCACGCGTTAGCGATCAGCAGACAGCGCGTGGCATGACATGCTGTTCCCTTCCCCTCATTGGAACTTTCCGCACCCGAGCCTTCCAAGCTGGAAGGTTGTCGGTTTGCGCTTCGTAGATGTGTTGGAGCTAGGTGTCAGGTCGTCGAATGTCTCAATATTCCTGTCAGTTTTGTGCTGTGTAACCGCACTATCTGACTGTATTAAACTATTATCATCTCGTTTAATACGTTGGTGGACTGTTAGTCATAACTCGTAACATTTGGTCCTTTTTGTTGTACTTGGATACTATTGGTACACCATCCGAGTTTCAACAAATCATATTGATTGTGTGTTCTACTACTGAAGTAGTTTATATTCTTCTGTGTGCTTGTTGCCCATAGTTGTCCCAAAGTCTGACGAAGCAGATTTTCCCGGATTGGAACTGGTGGAGAAAGGCATTGCCGGGGAGTGTGACGTTGTTGTGGCCTCAGAGTCTTCCAAGTCCCTGCCAACGCTTTTGGAACTCTCGGATGTGAGTGTTCTGTTTGTTTTGTTCAGGTCATTGTACATGATAATGAATTAGATACTGGTTGGATCACATGAGTATTCTTGTAATGAGATCCAGCAGCATTGCTGTACATATGTCGGGGGGGGGGGGGGGTCTGGGCCTTCTGGTACTCCTATAGTGCAGGGGACAGGGGACTACTTTCTTTCCGAAATTGTCCTCCCCTTGTCCGCTGGCGTGATCTTGATTGATGTCACTTTTCGTGAGCTGCTTAGTGAGCGAGCTTGATCACTCGTCAAGTTTGACCCAGGGGGTGAGCAGGTGCCCAGTGCTTCTCGTACCATCTTGCAAGTTGCCAGTGCCAGACCCCGGCGTTCATCTGGGAGTTTGTTTGCCCACTTCTCTGTGCTCATGATGATTTTTTCTCTCTGGGGATTGCTTTGGGCGGACAGTCGGACTGGCGAAATCCAGGCTCAGTTCGAGTAGGTTGGTCTGTTTGTTCGTCAGGGCGTGGGACAACAAGTTTATGACGCTTGGCTTGTTTGTTGGAGCGGTTGTCCGGGTAGTTCGTTGCCAAAGTTTCACCAACTCCGTGTTGTGTTGTCTGCTAGCGCGTTAGTGAGCGGTTGTACCCAGTCCTTGGAAAGTTAGTGTCTTAGTAAGTTAGTGTCTTGTGCCATTGTGATATTGACACATTGTGTACACGACGTATTCGGAAACTGTGGTCGCTCCAGTCCTTTGTGATGAGTGACATTTCTCTGTGGTTTCTCTGCTGCCGATTGTGTTTGCCAGCTGCCATTTGGTATTCCCCCGGCATGCGAGAGCGTCGACCATGACTTGGAGGCTCTGCTGTGCCACCCGGAGAAGCTGCATCTGTATGACTTAGACCGGGCGCAAAGGTAATCCTTTTTGGAGGCATGCATACGCATGCCTTCGGCATATTCAAGATGCATATTGTCCTTGTTGTTCTGTTCTATGTTCAAGATGCATATCAAGGAAGTTTTGAGCAATTGTTTTAGTGCATGGACTTACTACATATACAGTTGTTTTTTTTACAAATATTACACAGCAATGAATCAAACAAGTCTCATTCCGCTGTAACAGCGGAATGAGACTTGTTTGATTCATTGCTGTGTAATATTTGTATTACTTGCTCCGTCCAGTGGGCATTGAGCACTGTAAGCAGCCTAGGGACTTTAGACAACTGTCTACAGTTGTTTTTTAAATAGTTGAAGAGAACATTAGACGGCTTTAATTCTGAGTTGTTCAGTTCAGCTGCAATTCATCTATGTTTGGAGGGTGCAGAGCTTCCATGCTGTATAGAGCTTCAGAGTGGGTAGTGCTGATTTCGTCGCCGGCACTGTGCGGCTATTGTGCGCCGGTGTTTGTTGCTTTGTTCTAGGTTTATACCGAGAACAATCGACACACAGTCTCTCCTACGCTGTGATGTCAGTCCAGCTCTGACCTCGCTATCAGTGCATCGTTCTTCTGCATCTTCAGTGCAAGAGGTAGGTACGCCTGCGGGAAGTTCTTGCCTCTCCCTGCATGTGGAATAGAGGTTTTTCATAGGTACAGAAACTGAGTACTGGTCAACAGGTGGTTGTACCTATAGATCATAGACATCGCAGAGACTTCTACTGTGTAGCACGTGGTGAACCCGTCACATGACCATTTTTGCAGTACCATGGGAAAGCTCTACAGATGGAGTTGTGGTCTGAGATTTCATCACTATGCGGAGAGTGTCTTTATCATTTTTTTCTACAAATGGTCAACGCGCACACATGTGCTTGTGTGTGTGTGTGTGTGTGTGTGTGTGTGTGTGTGTGCGTGCGTGCGTGCGTGTGTGCATGCCTATACGCGTATGCTTTGCCAGGTGTCACATTCTGCTCCTGGCAGTTCGGCCAAGTCGTCCACTTCGCTGAGCCGTCCCCACGGCCCGCCCGGTGCTGAAGTGCGCGGTCAGCCAGGCAACTGCTTCTTCTGGCCAGGTAAAGACATCGCATACATGTGCCTGTATGGAAACTTGTTCGGTAGTATGTCCTGTACACCCTACTTCGAATATAATCTTTGATGATACCAGTACGACATAGTGGTAGCGACCTCGGCGGTAATTTTATAAGGAAGTAAGCTGGTTGCTTCGGGAAAAGCGCGAGCTCCAGTGTGGGAGCAACCAACTCATTTTCTTATGGTACTAGTACTTCGAAGTATTGGTCAGAACATGACTTTCCTTTCTCAATGACTACACCATGCATGTATGTTCATGATGCCCTTTGGTTGCTGGTGTTATTTGCCTTTCTTGCCAAAGGAGGAATGGATGACGAAAGACCAACAGCAACAGCAGCGGCGGCTGCGCAACCTACTGCTGACGTGGGTGGTACCGAGATTGACTTTGAGAATGGTCAGTGATTCCTATACTGGTTTCCTGTTGCATGGCAGGCAGCATTTAGTCGGGACATGATCTTTATGCTTGGTGCTTATCAATCATACTTACTGTCTTTAAAATGTATTAAAAGTATTACCAGGTAGATCATAGAACTACAATACTATTGAAGCGGTTATCCTGTATCCCAATGACTTGAGTATGCTGTACAATACCGTCTTGTAAAGCGCTTATTGTGTATCCCGATGACCTGGGCAGTTTGTACAATGTGTTTCTCCTGCAGATCTGGAATCAACGCCTCCCGGCTTTAGTTGTGGAATGACATTTCCTCCGCCTGTCAAACCGGAGAGCACAGCTGGGTCGGTTCCGTCGGCCGACTTTCCTCGCCTTCTTGCTTTTGATATTGACCTGGGAATACAGAGCGAACCTAGCACCACAGCAGATGTAAGTCAAAGTCAATGCGAATTATAGGGTAGGATGTATCTGAATCAGGGTAGCTGAGCCACTGCATAGTTCAGCCAGGGCTAGATGAGCCAGGACATACTAGCTGTACCAAGGTCTAGGTGAGCCAGAGCATAGCTGAGTGAGGGCCAGGGCATAGCTGGGCCAGGGTATAGCTGAGTGAGGGCCAGGGCATAGCTGGGCCAGGGTATAGCTGAGTGAGGACATAGTCAAGCCAGGGTATAGCTGAGTAAGGGCATAGTCAAGCCAGGGTCTAGCTGAATCAGGGCGTAGCCAAGCCGGGACATAACCGAGTCGGGCTCTATGTGTACCAAGGCATAGCTGAGGAAGGCTGAGCTGAGGCTTGGCTGAGTCAGGGTCTATGTGAGCCAGGGCATACCTGAGTCATGGCCTAGCTGAACCAGGGCATAGCTAAGCCAGAGGTCAGTCTTCCGTATCGGGATTGTGTGCAAGTCGCTGTTTGATTTTGAAAACTCTACAGCAGTACCATTGATGATGTACTGACATACAAGTATTCACTGCAATATTGTTCATGTTGTTGTACTGACATGTATCGGTATTGTTACTGGCCTGTCTGATGATATTAGGTTCCTAATTCTTTGTCTTACAGGCACATCCTGACCAGCCTCAAGCACTTGCTGATGGTGAGTATCGGCTTTTCCACTTTGTTACTTAGGGTTAGCCAGCTTCGCAGTTCATCCTTTCCCGTATCCCTCATCTACTACTGGTTTGCCATTACATGTATACGATTGGCACTGATGGTCTAGAGCGTATTCTGCTGTGCTCATTGTCTGTCTAGGCTCGTTTCTGTCTCTTCTGCGTGCATTTCTGCTGGAAATTGTACTCCCTGGGGGTTGCATCCTCCACATTTCCACCCGTAACATCAAAGCACATACACATACATACATACATACATACGTACACAAGAAACAGAGAGGTTCTATTTATTTATTTATTTATTCTTTAGCCAGCGGAGGGGCTCAACATAATAATGTGGAGCACTATTAGGGTTGGTTCACATATCGCCGGTACGCGCCAGGAGTCACCGGGAGTGGGCTTCTTGCAACCTCTCCCGGCGCATTGCGATTATGTGAACTAGTGCAGTCATAACAAAATCATACGGTATTATGTCGCAAGGGACCGCCGGCAAAGTTGGACAGTGCCCAACTCTTGCGATCTGCCCCGGCGCCGATCCCGTAGAATTTTGACCAAAAGTGGTTTGTGAACCGTTCGCGCCGGTGATCGCCGGTGCCGGGAGCCAGACTTTGTCAAAATTTCAAACCAAGACTCATCCTAAATTTTCCTAAATTGAAGCTAAAGATGAGGTCCGTTCGCCATTCTTGTAGTCGTTTCAAGGTGGCAAATTAAGTCAGCATACTAACCCGTCCTTCTCGGATGATCTGCTTGACTGTTGTGCAACTTATGAGACAAATACAATTGAAATAAATGAAAAATACGTGTGACTTCATCAACGTTTGCACGCATAATTTCGACACCACCGCTTACTAGACTGCAATAAAAGGTGTAGAAGTATTTTCATGATCTCCAGTGAAAGGTAGCACCGAGTGGCCATCACCGAAAGACCTTAACCTACTGAAGAAACAAAGAATTGAAGCTTCAATTGGCAAACCTGTCGTAGCATTTGGGCACATCCTGTACTACGTTGTAGTATATTTGGTACTCGAACCGTATGCGCAACAGATCGGGAGCTGGCTCACCGCCGATGTCTTGCGATGTCTTGCGGCGCCGATTTTGCTTATGTGAACCAACCCTTACACGCAGCAGGCACAACTTGTCACCTGATGATTGCATTGTGCACGAAACTGCGAGTTGCGACACACTCCCTAAACCTCCTTTGTGCCGTTTGTGTACACAAGAAACACGCAGTCCTTCTTTACTTGGTTGGTGCCGAACGGTCCGTAAATAGTGCCACCCCTAGTGGTCGAGCACTATTGCTTTCATCCTGCAAGCAATGGAAACTATAAATAGTGAAGCGTGTATGTTGTTGCTGACCTTGATCATGTGGGCCTGATACTGTTGGATGCTGGTTTTCACATTGTGCTCATGTGTCTTCCTGTACTGTGCAGATGATAAGGACAAGGATGGTGCACTTCAGTCGGTCCTGGAAATGGTAGGGCATGTTACTAAATGTGGTGTGTAACTGCTTTCTTGCACACTGCTCTACATGTATCAGTCTTTTGCCCTTTGATTGCCACTGTCATTGAAGTTGATGATGAGTTCATGCTTTTGCACAATGCTGAGTCCAGTAAGATGTTGGAAGTCGGAGCAAGGTTTGAAAGGAACACCCATGCAGCTGTCTTATTGTAAGGTGTACTAGTACTGTCTTATTCAGTCATTATGCATGCTAAATAATTAACTTTGTTTCCTCTGTCATAGTCCTGTTTAAGTCGATAAAGTAATCTAGAGTGCGGATGCAAGTTTTTGCGCTCCGCGGTCGAGTTTGTTTCACCGGTGTAGCTGCCTTCGGCAGGACCGCACCTACACTGATTTGTTCTAGTGTTGATGTATGACTCAATAATATGGCGACTAACGAAGATATGGACTTAGCTCTGCTGACATACGAGGAGCTGCTCACAGTTGCCCGAGCTACAGGACTGACCAACCCGGAGACAATGGGCCGACAAGACTTGGTTGTTGCCCTTCGCAAGGAAGGACTAGGAATACGGAAGTCACCAGACCAAATGGTAAGCGACCTGCTCTCCACTTTTCAGCTCCTTAACGAGACTATAAAAGGTATGGCTTCAGAAATAGAATGTCTTCGAACGAGCAAGACAGACGCCATTGTCTCCTTGCAAGTGGAAGTTGCTCAACTGAAGGGAGTAGTAGAGAGAATGCAGTCCACAAATCCCGTACCCGTAGCGTCCCCAGCTTGCACTGACCAAGAGAAATTGTACAGTAGCACTGCAAGGAAAGCTGCCTCACCAACAGGCACACACACCAGCACGGACGGTAGTACACGTACTACTACAAGAAGTAGTACCCCAACGGCCAGACCTGACCTGCCCGCCAAACCTGAAACGCAAGATACAAGCACAAGCGACAATGGGTGGCAAAACCCACACCGCCGCCGCCCTGCACAAGCCGACACCAACACTACCGGTAGTCCACTGAAACGCACTATCACAAGCCAGTTCACAAAAGAGCCAGCCCGTACCAAACGCACTGACCTTCAGGGCGTGGAGCGGGTGAAGCGCACGGCTTTCTACCTTGGCAATGTAGACCTTGGATGCGATGCTGCCTCAATTGAACTGTGGTGTAAAAAGAAAGATGTCGAAGTTTTTCACTGCTCAATCTCAGAATCACGGTACTTTGGTACAGCTTATGCCCACCTGGTTGTGGGAGAGAACTGTGTAGACAAGATCCAAGGGCCTGGTTTCTGGCCTGACAAAATTAGTATCCGGAAATGGAGGTTCCACACTGACCAGGCTGAATCTGAACAATGAGTAAACCAACACCTCAACTTGACCCTAACGCAACACCCTTCTATCCTTCAACGCCCCTAGCCTCCTTTCCCGTAGCCTGTATCAATGCACGTTCCCTTAGAAACAAATCTGCTGAGCTATCCGACTTTCTCACGACCAGCTGTCCCCTTGTTGTTTGCATAACTGAAACCTGGTTGTGTCCACAAATTTCCCTCTCCTTCCCAGGCTATGAATGTTTTCGAAGGGATCGACCCACCTCCGAGAATAAAATTAACACCAACGACTTCCTGGCCTATGGCGGTGTTGCTATCTTAGTAAAATCAAGTGCATTTGGTCCTATTACCCACCGTACAGACCTACATATTCCGCAATTCGAAGCTACCTGGGTAGAGATATCGCCATCCACTGGAACCTCTGCTTGCCCCACGCGCCAGCAGCCCATCCAAATTGCGGCTGTCTACCGCCCACCGTCCACCGACCCGTCGGTGATAGATAACTTTTACGCCTCGTTTCAAAGCTGCTTGACTAAAATACGGACCCCTGGCTCGCCAGTCCTCATCATGGGAGATTTCAATGCTAAATGTTCCACCTGGTATGGAACAACAACAGACACTGCAGGCCACCACCTTTCATGTCTTCTTGACATGTTTGCCTTGCAGCAACACGTCACATTCTCGACCCACCGCTCCCACAAAGGCAATGAGGCTGCTCTGGACCTGATGATCACTGACACTGCAGCCAGCATCTGCGATCCGCGCCCCTCAGCCCCTCTCGGTCAGTCGGACCACTCAATTGTTCTCGGCCGTTTGTGCATCCCGACATGTACCGCATCACCACCTGCACCCAACACTACACTGCCCTCCCATTCCTTCCAGATACCTGACTTCAGTCAGTTTGACATCTCCTCCATTCTTCCCACTCATCTAGTTGCTCTAAATGAATCCATTGCTAATTTGAACTGGCATGCTGCTCTCCAGTTGAAGCTTGGAGATCCAAACCGTACTGCTCCAGCATTTTATGACATCCTTCATAGTCTATGCTCCGCTTTCCTACCCACCCGGTCGCGCTCTTCAGCCCCTAGACGACGTACACCAAGTCCCCCGTGGCTGACACGTGCTGTTAAAGCTCAGCTGAAGAGGAAGCGAGACTCGTACAGCTTGTATCGCAAGTATCCTACCCCTAGCAATCACGAGCATTACAAGTGCGAACGTAACAGAGCACGAATCCTATCTAGAGAGGCTCACCGCCAGTATGTGTCCTCCATTAGCACTAACCCCTCATCCATTATTGCATCCACCCCTAGTTTGTTCAAGTTTGTTAAGCAGCTTCGTTCGCCGACCCTTGTTGGAAACCCTATCATCACTGAACTCCATGAAAATAACACAGTACACAACGACCCTACCCAGATTGCCAATGCTCTGAATCGCCAATTCATCAGCTTTGGAACACCGGATGATCCTGCATGGTCTCTCCCTGGTATTCCACACCACGGGCTCCCAGCACTACCCTCTTTTAGCACTACTCCCACCGCCATTGCCCACCACATCCGTCGCCTAAAGCCCAAGAAGGCGGCAGGTGCAGATGGCATATCCCATGAACTGCTAAAAGCCCTGTCTCCTAGTATAGCTATCCCTCTCAGCCTAGTTTTCAACCAGTCCTTCGCCACCGGAATCTTCCCTGATGTCTGGAAGGCAGCTGTGGTTGTGCCTATTTACAAGAATAAAGGCAGTAAACTGTCTGCATCCAATTACCGGCCGATTTCACTCCTTTCCACCATTTCAAAGCTCTGTGAACGTGTGGCATTTGGCCACTTATACCAACATGTGAACCCGGTCCTTGACCCGTCACAGTCTGGATTTCGGCGAGGCGATTCGACCGCCTGGCAGTTGCTGAGGCTTGTGCAGAAGCTATATGAATGCAAGGATCAGAAGCAATTTAGCCTCCTATGTTTTTTCGACCTCAGCAAAGCATTTGACACTGTCTGGACAAGGGGTCTCCTCCATAAGTTAGCAGCGTTTGGCGTAGCCGGGACGTGTCTGCAGTGGCTCACCAGCTATCTCACTGAACGTCGACAGAGTGTCCGAATTGGACATGCCCTGTCCGCCCCTCAAACAGTCCACTCTGGAGTGCCCCAGGGCTCTATCTTGGGGCCTCTATTGTTCATCGTATACGTTAATGATTTGGCAGGTTTGGATCATACCTCACTCTACGCGGACGATACAGCGCTCCATATAACCGAGCCAGGCTTATTGCAAGCCTGCGACTCGCTACAGTATCACATTAATCAAGTTGTGCGCTGGATGTCGAAGTGGAAACTCCGCCCCAATGTGTCGAAAACGGCAATCCTTTGTATCCCCCCACGACCCTCCAGTGACCTCACCCTCCTTACGACTCGGCTTTTTACTTTCCCTGATGATCCCATTGCTATCAACATTGTTAAAAATCACAAACACCTTGGTATATTTCTTGATGAACACTTGTCCTGGGATTCGCACGTAACCTATATTGAAAAGCGAGTTTGCTCCGCGATAGGCTGCATTTCTCCTCACATCTCCCATCTACACCATGGTTGTCGAATACAAATTTATCACTCTTATGTTCTTCCTTTGTTTGATTACTGCTCTCTCGTTTGGTCCTCCGGTCTATCCTCCGCTCTTATGCATCGGTTAGAAGTCACCCACCGTAAATTACTTCGATTAATATTTCGCATGCCCCCTCTGACCTCCTCTCAGACGCTATACATTTTGGCTTCCTCTTCCCCTCTCTCAGAACGCTTTCCCCACTCGGCATGCAAATTCATTCACCGTATTAAGCTTCAACTTGCTCCTCCTCATGCACTTGCGCATTTAAGCTGGTTCAATAATAGCTCGCGTACTAGATGTTCTCTCCATTTCCCACTTGCCAGGTCATCGATCCTTTTAAAATCCCCTCTGTTCAAGTCCTATTCTCATTGGTCTCGGCTTCCGCAGGAGGTAAAGTCTCGTGACACCTTCGCTGCATTTTGTTCCATTCTGCCCGCGCCTAAGTTGAATTGAATTGAATTCGTTGTTTTCCATTGCTAGCCTAATCTTCATACTGCTCTCTCCAGGTTCCTATAGTACTCCTTTTGTTTTGTTTTCTTTTCTCTTTTTCTTCTCCTTCTTTTTCTCAGTTGTCCCCACCATGGCTGGTTAAAATCGCCCGCATCACATGCTTATTGGCACTATGTCATCGTGATTGTGAAATAATAATAATAATAATAATAATAAGACGGCAACGTCTGTAGGGCCTTCCCTATCAAAATAATAAATTCTACTACTACTACTACTACTACTACTACTATCATGTTCAGCATAAGCGAAGTTGTGAATCATGCTTGCATGGTTGACTCCAACGCGTACATGCAATTAATATTAATATTAATAATAAATAATTAACTGTAGTACTTGTGCATGTGTGGCTGGCTTTTTATTCTGCACTCCTTTTTGTGGATTTGTGTTGCCATGTACTGTTGTTTGCTTACAGGCATCATCTGGTGTTCGCAGCGATTCATCGTCGCGCTATACTCGCATGTTATCCAGTGCCGCTACATCCAATGAAGACTGGGCAGTCGTAGTGGACCAGGCAGACACCGTTCCTGACTTTCACCTGATAGTGCCGAAGATGGCCCACGAGGTAAGCAGGGAACATGGGACGATGTCACTGTATTCCACCTACAATTTTATTACTCTATAGTTGTATCAACAGCAGCAGCACCAGCACCAGCAACATCATCAACATCAACATCAACAACAACAACAACAACAACAACAACAACAACAACAACAACAACAACAACAGTCGAGTTGCGTTGTCTGTATTTAGGGTGTGGGAGGGGAGGAGGCAACTATCTCAAAGTTTATTTCTGGCCTTCATTGTCTTTCCGTATTTCCGGTTTTGCACAGTACCCATTCCAGTTAGATACCTTTCAGAAGCAGGCCATTGTCAGACTGGAGAAGAAAGAGTGTGTGTTTGTAGCTGCACACACGTCAGCTGGCAAGACGGTGGTGGCCGAGTATGCTATTGCCATGGCTCTCAAGAATGTGGCTAAGTAAGTAGAGCATGGCTCTTGAATTGCCTCAAGCACGTGACTAAAGAAGTAGAGCATTGGGTACTTCTGATTTATAGAATATGATTGCAGTGGACGATATGACATTATGTGTACCTGCCATTGTCCGTATAGCCCCGCTGCAATCCCCCCTGCACCCCCCCCCCCCCCCCGTGTTCTTGGGACTGGTGTTTTTCCTAATCCTAGACCCTGTCATATGCGATCTTTGATCGCTTTGTGGTGGGTCTGATCAACTCACATTCCGCCACTGCAGGAAATGCATCGGACGCATTGATCCTGCCAGAAGGATCTATATTTCCCGGCCATTTAGGAACTGCATATGACGCTTGATCATGGTGTGGTGCGCATGACAATGGGTTGGTGACGTCCAATAGATCAGGAAGGTAGTTCCTAATGTACCTGGTACGCGCATCATGAATAGTTGTCCAAATAATTATTATGTTTTGTCAGCACAGTTAATTATTTGTGCCATCCTCACTTTTTCCAGGACTATCTACACATCACCAATCAAAGCTTTGTCGAATCAGAAGTTCCGGGACTTCAAGAACACCTTCAGTGACGTGGGTCTGCTGACCGGAGACATTCAGATCAACAAGGAGGCGTCCTGCCTCATCATGACAACAGAGATTTTGAGGTAATCACGGAATGTTGTGGCCACCTTTTTGTTTGTGTGCGCATGCCAAGTTGGCATATTCGTAGCCCCCTCCCCCCTCTTTGTCTCTCTATGTCTATATAATATGTGTGCTGCTCCAAACACGCACAGTACACTGTATGCGCATGTACATGTATTAATAGGTTTTTCATTTGACCCGACGAGACCACACGACGGTTGCAGACCACAGCACGAACAGTTCATCAGCCGCACTCCACGAAAGCAAGTAGTATTACTCCTGACAAGTCTTGTTTCGTTCCATAAAGTTGACGGGGAACTCATCAGAGGAGAAGCAGTTGTTGAAGGAAGGGGTTAAGCTGAATAATGCTATTTTATTCCCGTAGCTATGCAGAAGACGTTACTTCAGTAACGTCTGGCGCTAGCCAGGGTCCACACAGCTTTAATTTGGTGTTTGTGTGTTTGTTTGTGTCACGCCTGGCGCTATCCGTATCTGACGGCAAAAAAGCATAGGATGTTATAATTTTTTCAATTCTCCTTTTTTCAGGCATATCCTGGGATTCGAACCCACACTATCGCCCTACATGCATTCCCCCATACACTTCGCATTCATACCCATTCTTCCAAGTTGCTTTACGTTATTATCTTGCGTTTGAAAGCCCTATTTGAATATTGCGGGCAGCTGTATCCACATACAGCTGTGTTTGATGGTACGGTACGGTACGGGAGACGGTGTCGTATTACCCTCGATCGTACCTGTCCCGTACCTATCCCCTACCGCACCGTGCCATCAAAGACGGCTGGCCACAATGCATATTCAAATAGGGCTTTCAAATGCAAGATCACAATGTGAAACAACTTGGAAGAATTAGTATGTATGCGAAGTGTATCGGGGGATGCATGCAGGGCGCGCGATAGTGCGGGTTCGAATCCCAGGTTATGTCTTGAAAAAAAAGGAATTTTTTAAAGAATTTATAACATCCCTATGCTTTTTTTTGTCTAGGTCATCAAGGCAAAAAAGCATAGCGTAGGGCCCTGAGCTTCCAAGCTCTCTCGTATGGTACATGTACTTTGTAGCGTTGCAGCCACTTTTGTTAGCAGATTCTGTGGAGTAGACAACTACTGGGAATTGCGTTCTGATCTGCAGTCTCTTTAAATGTGGTTCACCACACTGTCTTAGTGCCTATGGACAACTGCACAGTCATTTTGCTCTGGAGGCAGAGTTGGCAAAGCACACACACACACATAGCCTCTGCCTCTTGATCTACATTCCACTATGATTGTGTGCAGATCCATGTTGTACAATGGGTCTGATGTCATTCGGGATGTGGAGTGGGTGATCTTCGATGAGGTGCATTACATCAACGATGCAGAGGTGAGTTGAAAGCGTTAGGCATTGCACGTCAGGTGGTTCATTTGTTGGTAATTATTGGTCATTGGTTCTATGTGTGGCCCTCTCTCTCTCTCTCTCTCTCTCTCTCTCTCTCTCTCTCTCTCTCTCTCTCTCTCTCTCTCTCTCTCTCTCTCTCTCTCTCTCTCTCTCTCTCTCTCTCTCTCTCTCTCTCTCTCTCTCTCTCTCTCTCTCTCTCTCTCTCTCTCTCTCTCTCTCTCTCTCTCTCCCTCCCTCCCTCCCTCCCTCCCTCCCTCCCTCCCTCCCTCCCTCCCTCCCTCCCTCCCTCCCTCCCTCCCTCCCTCCCTCCTCCCTCCCTCCCTCCCTCTCTCTCTCTCTCTCTCTCTCTCTCTCTCTCTCTCTCTCTCTCTCTCTCTCTCTCTCTCTCTCTCGCTGCTGCTGCTGCTGCTGCTGCTGCTGATGCTGCTGATGCTGATGCCTGTGCACTAATTAGCAGAAGAGGTCACAGTACGATAGAGAGGGGCGGCCACTATACGCTTTTTGTTTATATTTTCGAATTTGTGGCCAGCCCTACGTATCACGAAACACAATACATGTACCGGGGGTGTCCCCGAATACAAGTCGCACCTTATTACACTAAAATTCAAGGACACAGATGAGGGTGCGACTTATCGAGCATGACTTACTAGTACTAAAGTGAATACATTGAAACAATATGCGGCTCAAACCTGAAAATGGGGGTGTGACTTATAATCGGGGAAATACGGTACTACAGGTGGTGCCCAGCATGGTCTTCCTAGTCATAACGCTCCTTATTATCCTGTCCATAATAGCAGAAAGTGGAGCATTCAGTTCAGGACAGATGTGCGTATGTGTGTGAATCTTTATTGTGCTTCTAAGCTGCATTGTCTGAATGCTGTATGTGTGCATGCGTGCGTGTGTGTGTGTGTGTGTGTGTATGTGTGTATGCATGTTTTGTAGCGTGGTGTCGTATGGGAAGAGGTGCTGATCATGTTGCCTGACCATGCCAATATCATCCTGCTGTCTGCAACCATTCCCAACACGAAAGAGTTCGCTGGATGGGTGGGGTAGGTTGGATAGCAATTCATCTCTTTCCTGACTTGCTTCACATGTCCTTTGACTCTCTTTGATCTCTTCCATGTTGTTCATTTTGCAATACATCGTGCATCATTGGCTCACAGTATTCGCTTTTTGCATGCATACATGTTAACAGTACTCACTGCCATTATACTGTTTGCTTTCTATCTCGGTGTGCCTCTCTTCAGACGAACAAAGCGCAAGAAAGTGTATGTCATCAGCACTAACAAACGCCCAGTGCCGCTGGAGCACTTCTTGTACACGGGCAATAGTTCCAAGACCAGCAACGAGCGCTTCCCGATCGTCAAGCCCAACGGCGTGTTCGATAACACGGGGTGAGTCATGGTGGTCTTTGCGCCTGCATGGGTGTACTTGTGGTTGTTTCCAAGGATAACTGCACCGTTCTACTGTATTTCTTGCCCGTTTCAAGACGCTAGAACCGTTACAGAGCCATGTTCAATATCCATGTTGGTAGAAATGAACGTACCTTTAAAGAATAGCTCGAATACCGTAGTACTAGGCAAAGCAGGACAAACTCTGTTCACTTCTTTCCCTGTTGTCCAGGTTCTTACGAGCAGTGGAGGCTAAGAAACAGCGCACCAAGCCGACGGACAAGTTTGGACCGAAAGGCGCTCGTAACTATGCCAATTCATCGCAGGTATGCTGGGAATGGATGTGTACCATGTGTGTATGCTCAAGCTACAGTAAAATCCATTTTCCGGGTAGTATAGTTCTTGAAGAATGCATTTTCTCTATGACATCACATACATAATCGGGTTTAAATAATTCTTTGTTGCCATCTTCAATAGGTCCGTCAAATAGTAGTAATAGGATCTGCAAGCGTCGTGTGGTCTCGTCGGGTCAAATGAAAAACCTATTACTATAATCGGGTTTATAACATCGATTCTGATAAGATTCAAAACTTTTAACCCTTTACCATCCGTGCGTACTTGAATCGATCTCTAGAGATCGATGGACATGCATACACTAAAACATTCGTAACTCGATCGATTCTTGGCGGAATTTAAAGAACTAAGTATCTAGGAAGAAGCCGAAGAACCCAGCTTTCCATTGCACCAATCGGTAAAGAGCTGCGATGTCGCATTCCAAAGATATTTTGCTCGACATTTCAGCTACGGCAAAAGTCGAATTTCTTTCCGAGTGACTGACCTTCAGCGGGGATTTTCCCCTCTCCTGACATGCTGAGTCACTTTGGCATGCTTCGAGCGCGTGGGCAGCATGAAAAGAAACTCAAGCAAAACATTTGGAATGTTTACGATGAAGGAGCGAGAAATGGCTGACGAGGAGAGAATTTCCTCGTATATACAGCGATGGGGTGTATTTGAAGCTCCCTGGCGCTGGATATGTGATCTCGGTAGTGCCCTGTTTGAGCTCAATGTACGCAGCTCGTGGAGAGCTTTCCAGAATGCCCAAGATTGTGAAAATTGGTTGATTAGAACCGAAGATATTCTCAGAATAAGGTGAGAATTATTGCATTTGGGACTGCTGGGGAAATTTGGTCGGATGGTAAAGGGTTAAAAGTCTATTGTAGCGTCTTATTGAGTACTAAATTCTTTTTCCCTGTTCCCCATGTTACTCCACTACTATGCTCTCTGTCTCTTCCAGCTAGCACTCCAGCACACTCGTACATGCACCAAGCCACAAGTATCAACAAGGAATCAAGAGAGTTGAAATATCGAAATAGTAGTAAAGTTGGGAAAAAAAGAAACTGTTCTTTTCCACAAGATCCAAGATCCATCAGGAAAAGGGACATGCACAAAATGGCGACCACGTCGTCCATTAACGCGTAATCATTGTAATCATACAAAACAAACTAGTGCAGCGACCAAAGAAAAGACACAAGTGAAGAAGAAAAAGAAACAGCGCTGCAGCAAGAAGATCGGATCGCTGCAGTCGCTAAAATGCACTAGCCTACTGGCTGTAGTTCCACATGAGCGTGCAGTCACGTGGTCATGAAACAGAGTGCGTACACACTCATGTCATACCGATACGTCGTACATGACTGTAAGAGACCCGGCTCACTCGACAAATCAATCTCACTCTTTTCTGGACTGACCAAGAACTGAGGGGAACCCTCGGCGTGGCCAGCTTCATCTTTTCAGAAAAAAATGCACGGAGTCGTATTCGACTCCCTGCTGTGTTCAGAGTACGGTGTAGGGTGTAGAATAAGGATGTGCAGAAATAAAGTGTGTTCCTAAGGTGGATAGTGTGTAGAGTAATAGCTGTCCATTATGCATGAATAATAATAAGTAATTCGGGGATCACCATACAGAGCATGCAGAAAGAGTGTAAGTAATTATGTGATTGGAAGGCCAACGGGAATGGGAGAAGCAGTCTCTAAGACCATTCCCGTCACACCTTCCCCCTTCACAAGTCGCAAGCAGCCAGCTTGCGACGACAGAGACTGAGCCGCCTCACTGCGTGGATAAAGCATCAGCATTTCCATTACTGGCACCCGCGCGATGGAGAACGTCGAATGCAAACGGCTGGAGGGCAATGGACCAACGGGCCACACGAGCATTCCCGCTGCTATGTTAGGCGGTCCATTGCAGAGGGCGATGGTCCGTGATGAGGGTGAAGCACCAACCGAGAAGGTAGGGCGCAAAATTTTGCAGCGCCCACTTGATGGCCAAGCCCTCCTTCTCGATGGTAGCATAGCGTCGCTCACGGGGAAGGAGCTTCCGGCTGGCATAGGCGATGGGATGTTCCTGTTCCCCCACCGTCTCGGACAACACGGCATCAAGACCCAAGTCAGAGGCATCCGTGTGCACGGTGAACGGTCGGCTGAAGTCGGGACAGGACAGCACAGGAGTCCGTACTAGCTGGTCCTTGAGCGTCTGGAAGGCATGATCGAGGGCCGGCGTCCAGACCACCCGCACCGGGGCGGATTTGGTTGTAGCAGCAATAAGAGGCGAAGCAATGGCGGAGAAATCTGCAATGAACCGCCGGTAGTACCCCCATAAGCCGAGGAAGGAATGCACCTGTCGCTTGGTCGTGGGTTGCGGCCTGGAGTGGATGGCAAGAAGTTTCTCGGGGTTGGGCAGTACGTGACCGAGACCGACGACATGGCCGAGGAACTTGATCATGGCGAAGGAGCACTTTTGTGGCTTGACTGTCAGCCCGGCGGCCTGGAGGCGATGGAATACCATGGCCAAATGGCAAAGATGCTCCTCCCAAGAGCGACTGAATATGACCACATCATCCCAATAAGCAGCAACAAAGGGCAGGTCATGGAGGAGAGAATCCATGCAGCGTTGAAATGTCGCCGGTGCCCCATGCAGGCCAAACGGCATGACGGTGAACTCATTGAGCCCGGAAGGTGTAGTAAACGCCGTTTTAGCGCACGCATCGGCGTCGAGAGGAATCTGCCAATATCCACGTGACAAATCCAAGGTGGAGATAAACTGTGCTGTGCCGACCCGGTCAAGAGTCTCGTCCACCCGGGGCATGGGATAGGCGTCAAACTCGGACACGTGGTTGAAGCCCCGATAGTCAACGCAGAATCTGATGTCTCCGTCCTAAGAAAAGAAAGGGAAGTTACACGCGAGACTACTGCTACTACTAAGAGGAATTTGTTTGAGAACAAATGCACAAGAATATGATTCTTTTGGAAACTAGAATGGAATCTGTATTGAGAATTCTTAGAGAAGCTAGGGAACTAGAACTCAGCGGAGAATTCGGCTAACTATTCCAACGAGCCTGGACTCAGCTACAAAGTAAGAATAAAATCAAATAAATAATATCGTCAAACTATAGTAACAGTACAAGCAGTCGATTTACCGGAGTGTTATCTCTAATTATTCACACCAGTCCCCCAGGTAACACTAGTGTCAATCGACGTAGCGACTTGGGCGCTGGAGATGACGACGGTCACGCAGACTACGGTCGGCTACAGCCAACGGCACACCATCAATATCACACTGCACTGGTAACTCGGGTACAGAACCAGACTCACACGACAACACATTGGATTCAACAGCAGGTTTAATCAACTGAATATTAACAGACTTCTGTTGATCAAAACCATCGACGGAACGACACACACACACACGGAACCAGGACCAAGGATCTCAGTGACCTTCCACCCAGCTTCAAACGGTGGCAAGCGCTTCTGAGAACGAGCGTGGTGACGGCGCAAAACTGCATCACCAACAGCATACAGATTGGAATCGCTGCCCTCAACAAAATCATGAGAAGACAACTCTGCCTCGACAAAGTCACGAATACGAGCAGACCGACCAGCAAGGCTATTCACCCAAACACTAAGACTGGAACCAACAGCAGACTCATCAACAATCAACTGACGTGGAAGCCATCCACACATACCTTCCATTGGGGACAAACCAATAGCGGTATGAGGTCGCGTAGGGTAATAGTGCAACAACACATGCAACTCAGACTTCCAATCACTAGAGGAGTCGAGCATCTTACGGATGAGGGTTAACAAGGTGCGATTAAACCGCTCAGCAGAACCCTGAGACTGGGGATGCCTAACTGCACCAGCATGCACCTTCGTGCCAAACACATGGAACAACGACTCAACAATGCCATTCACGAGCTCAGTGACAAGAGTCCGGGTGCAGCCGGTGTCCACCACAGCCTGGGCACGTCCGCACGGCTTCTCGGAGAATGGACTAGACACATCCACAAATACACGCGGCAGTTTCCCAGGGACCAATACAGTGCATAAACACGGATCCGCAGGAGCCTTGGTCACACCATGAGTGGACGAGGATGCGTGTACAGCAGCAGCAGCTACCCCCTTCTGGCACAACCATGCCTTGCGCTCGGGACACTTGCTCTTGATATGGCCCTCTGCGTCGCAGAAGAAAGATGGTTTTGATCAACACCCATAGGGGTAAAGTATGTCAGGATTCACTGCCAACCTTCGTGTAAGAAAAATCCAGGAGAGTGAACAATCACTCTCGCTATCCTCTCAAGGAGAGTGGTTCTTGGGAAGATAGAACCCTCTACACACCAAGTTACTCAATATCTTGATTTCGACTGACCGGTTTCATCTTTGTTTCAAGAATCATCAGAGTGGCGGAAATGAGTAACGAAATATACACTTTATAGCAAGGCCAACTCGCTTGACCAAAAGTATCTATAACACAAGTGGACCCACTATAGCTGCTGGTAGCCCAAAGAGGCGTAGGGGCAGGGGTAATTGAAATGTGTTTTAGAAATGTGTCATTGCATCCAGGTAGGTGAGGGTGGAGCTCAAAATGGCATGCCAGTGTAACTTATTATGATCCGTGTTTGGAAATGTCCATATGAAGATATTTTATACAATGATCTATGTTTGGTGGTTTCTATTTACGGATAAGACTGGACGTTTCAGTGAAAAATTCCAATACGTTTTGGCAGTGTCAATGTTGACAGTATCGTTAACTGTGTATAAGGGGCCATCCGTAAATACCGATATTTATTTAGAAACGAAAACTAGTCGTTTCTCTTCAACCCCCCCCCCCTCCCCCTCCCTCAGAAATGAACACATACAAACGATGCATGGCATCGATATTTTTTCTTTTCTTTTCTGGACGTGCCCACACATATGTACATACAAACTGTGCATCGATGTTTTTCGAGAAACGAACAGGCGCTAAACCCCCTCCCCCCTAAACGACTAGTTTTCGTTTCTAAATAAATATCTATATTTACGGATGGCCCCTAAGTAGATGTTCTGCAGCAACTACTACTATTACGGTATCAGTAACCCTACTACAGTCCATTTCAAAACTATAGACGCGTACCTAGGCAAAAACCGTTATGCCAGCATCTATACCACATAAAATCTGTGATCACTTTGTTCATATTTTTTTCCAAATTGGGCGTCTGTTATCCAATTGTTTAAAAACTATTATGAGAGTAATTGTGGAGCGGTCCTGAGCAATATTCCGAAAACTATTCTCAAAAAGTTCCAGCCAAATTTGAAATATTTCAAAAACATTGCGCGTCTATAGTTTTGAAATGGACTGTAGTAACCGCTGATATTGGACTCGGCTCCTTTCTCTGCCGCTGCTGCTACTGGTGCTGCTGCTGCGGGTGTTTGTCCATGCATACATGCTTATGCCATGTCGTAGGACATGAACATTTACAAGTCGCTGGTGCAGTCGCTGGAGAAAAGCGAGCAGTTGCCAGTCGTCTGCTTCACGTTCAGCAAGAAGCGCTGCGACGAGAATGCGGGCAACTTGCGTAACTTGGACCTGACTAGCACACAGGAGAAGAGTCGCATTCACACGTTCTTCAAGAAGAGCATTGACCGACTCAAGCCAGCTGACCGGAAACTACCACAGGTTGGGTTGTTAGGGTGGTGTCGTTGCCTTGATAGCTTCCTTGTAGCTAATCATCTGTGTTCTGGATGGGCGACGTCTTTTGTCTGGGGAGCTTTCACTGTGGCCACACACGCCGATAGTGTGTGTGTGTGTTCTGGATGGGTGATGCATCATTCATTGTGCCTAACTTGTCCATGTTCTGGTTGGGTGGTTGGCGCATGTGTGTTTCAGTGTTTGCCTTGTTCTGTGTGTGCTGCTAGCTAGTCATCTAGAAGTTCTATTATTGTTGTGACATAAAAGAAACTGTGCTAATGCATGAAACAGTGTCTTGCTGCTGTGCTGAGGTTCATAATTCGTATGTTGCCAGGGCTGAATAATGCATGAGTCAGAATTTCATGTGCAGTAAAGGTGTGTGATTTGCAAGAGCGTTTCAGCCTAGGGTGTTTGTGAATCGATCCCGGTCTTTACGTGTTTGTATTGGTGCACTGTCATGCTACTGTATGTGGTACCGGTATGCTGTGTGCTGGGTAATTGATTATTTTCATTTGTGCGTTTGTGCGGTGATGCTGTAGGTACGTCGTAT